GTGGTGTTGGTGGTGGTAGGGGTGGTGGTGGTGTGTGTGTGTGTGTGTGTCCTTTCCACAGAGATTATCGATTCCTCAGAGGACTCACAGTTGACTAATCTTATTCTTCACCTGCATGAGGTTCTGTCCTATGCAGAGATTGCTAACCAGTCACTCTGTGATCTGGGATGCCTGTAGACAAAATTTATTTATCTGGTACAGTGTTTTAGGAAATACATATATCTGCAGATGACACATATAACTTCAGATTTCCAGCTTTTTTTAAAAAGCCAGACGTCTTAACAAATTCCCACATGGCCCACCACTAGCTGGAGCTGAGCCCTGCCTGCTGCTTTTAGCCTTCAGAGCTGGCTGGTTCCCCAGGCATGACGGGCCATCAGTTTCTTTCTCCCCGTTGCCGTCGCATGTATGTGTCACGTGTCTGTGCAGCCCTGCCTTCCCACAGACTCAGTTTCTCCTCTGCACTGTGGGGATCGTTTCCTTTGACATCTAGGAGCTTCAGCACCCCAGCCGCAGCTATTCACGCGGGTTCCTCCAGGCAAAGAGGTGGTGTCGAACTGGCATCAAGGGAGGGAGAAGTACGGGGGAGGGGACGAGAGGAAGGGGTGACCGGAGGGCCACCTGCAGCTTCTCTCTTGGAATCATGCCATGTGGTTGCCGTTTCGATTTTTTTTTAAGGTTAAATGTGACCCAAGACTTATCTACCAAGATTATTCATTTGTATTACTTTGTATTTATTGGAAAACTATGGAAACCCTCTCTTGTGAATGGGGAGGTTGACCTGAACTTGGCATTTCTGCAGGGCCAGGCACAAAGGAAGTTTTCGACACACATTTGTCTGATTGAATTATTAAGCTGTATTCTCTCTGCTGGAGAAGTCTCTGCAGATACTTCTTTGTGAAAAATTAAAAATCTAAACAAGAGGTTAACTGTCGGGAAGAATGTTTTTATTTTCATGAAATGATGACTTCTGACCTTCCCGAACTGTTTCTCAGGGCGGAGCCCGTGCTCGGAGCCCGTGAGAGCACCAGCTAAGCTTTAGAGTTCGGTTCATGGAAATGTGATCTGCATGCACCTTGTGGCCCTCTTGGGGCATCATTGAATATAATTCCCTCTGCTCCCTCTCCCCCACCATCGGATATTTCCTTCCTTGTGTCTTGCAGTCCTGTGACCGCATCATTTTAGCTGCAGTTTAGCACAGACTTTGAGAACCTGGACTCAGAACTGAATTTTGTGGTATCAGATCCCAGTTCTGACTCTCAGTTGTCATGTCACCTCTATGTCTCAGTTTCCCTACCTTAAAATACTATTGTAAAGAAACAAGTTACACAGGTAAATAATACCTAATCTAAATCTCTGTAAATCTCAGAATGTGTCTAAGTCTGCTATTACTATGTTGAAGAACATCTCCCATTTCCACTCTCTGTTTTGCTATGGCCCACGAGCTAAGAATGGTTTTCATGTTTTTAGGTGGTTGCAGAAATTGAAAAGAAGAATAAAGATTTTGTGACGTATGGACATTATATGAAATTCAGATTCCGAGTCCACAAATAAAGCTTTATTGGAACCCAGGCAACACTCCGACCAGCTTACTGTCTCTGTAACCTCTGTGGCTGCTCTTACATTGCAGCAGGGTAACGGTTTCAGGGGAGACCGGCCACCCGGCCCACAGGCCACACCTGGTGCTCCCTGGACCATACAGACACGTTTTTTGACCCCGCCGCGTGCCCGGAGCACTGAGTCACCTGCAGGTGTTCCTCTCCAGGTTCAACTCACTGTTCGGCCTAGGCTGGGTCTTTCCCTCCAGATCTGGGACATTCCTAACGTGTCTTTGTTGGGGACATGTCGTACGAGGTACTGCTTGGCCATCTGTGTGGTGAGCGTGGCTGTGTTTCTCTGTAATTCTGAGCCATGGTTTTGGGTTTGGATGAGGCAGGTCCCTTCCTTCACTGTGTCAGGGAGGAGGTTCATGGGCTGTGTTCTGTCCTCTGGCCATCCAGCAGGTGCACGTGGGCCTTCTGAGGGCACCAGGTGGGGTGAGTACGCTCGGGTGGCAGCACACCCGGGGTGGGTGGGGCAGTGCTGGGAGCAGGGGACGGTGCGGAACATATTCGTTAGTGGTGGTGGTGCCAGCAATATTTGTCTGAAATTTTGAAACAGAATAAAGAAAGAGTTGTTACTGGAGTGTTCTTGTTTTTAAAGGAGATAAAGGCATTGGTTACCCTTGTGTGGGTGAGTGACTTCTAGAAAGGCTGGGTGTGTCTCAGTCATCTTTGTTTCAACAGAATGCTCCACAGGGGACTTGGCAACATTTGTTGCCCACTAAACAAATGAATGAATTGGGTAAGAGAGAGAGTGAAGAGACTGTCTCATCCAGGAAAATCGATGCTACCTCTTACTGAATGCCTCCCAGTTCACTACCGAGCAGCAGTGGACATAAGGGAGAATCCAGTGAGCTTGCTGCTGAATTACAGCATCTCATGGTGCACACCTGAAGCAAGGCACGCTCTCCTGTTAGCACATTCATTCTTTTGTTTTTAAATCCTCACCCAAGGACATTTTTCCATTTATCTTTGGATAGAGTGAGAGGAGAGGGAGGTTGGGAGGGAGAGAGGGAGAGGGAGAGGGAGAGAGGGGGAAGGAGAGAGAAGTATCGACATGAGATGGACACACAGACTGGCAGCATCCCGCATGACCCTGGCCAGGGACGAACCACAACCGAGGTACGTGCCCTTGGCTGGAATCAAACCCGCGACTCATTGGTCCATGAGCCCAAGTTCTACCTTTGAGCCAAACCGGCCAAGGCTCGCCTTAGTTTTTAATAGATGAGCAAATAGACACAGAAAGACCAAGTAACTTGCCTAAAGTTATACGATGGCTAAGAAGCTGTTCTTGTTACAGTGAGGTCATCAACAGACTTTCATGATTAGTTGTAATATGGACAGATAGTTAATGTACTTTATCTTACATTATGCTGCTTCATCCTGTGTATAAATGGATGGTGAATTTGAGGAGGGTCAGTGCTGCCTGGGTATGACTTAGCTGCCCTTGCCGTCCAATCCTAAGACGCTGTCCGTGCTTAGATGTCCCTGTTGTTTCTCTCGGGGACCTGACCCCTGTGCTTGTCTCCTCGCTCTGAGACGGGTGCTCTGCCTGGCTGGAAGGGAACCCGGCTGTTTGGTGGCATGTTGCTGAAGTGTACTTTGGTTGGCGGAGAGCGGGGGAGGTAAGGGGCAGCCGGTGAGCAGGGCCACGTCTGCCCTTCGCTTTCCCTGAGGGCGGGCAGGCAGGATTCAACACGCGGGAAACTCGCCCCTGTCTGCCTTCGGAAGGCCCCTGCCTCTGCACCGTGTCTCCTGCCTCGTGCAAGTCGTTGTTGTTGCTGTGGTGGTGGTTCCTGTGTGTGTGCCCTCGACACCTCTGCTGCTCGTGAGAAGGGCAACGGCAGGCGAGATGAGCCAGTTTATTCCTTACTGATGCTTTGCTGAAACTTTGCCTCATTTAGAGTGTTTGGACTGAGGAAAAGCCACATGCTAGAAATCGTTAGTTGACTATACATTGCACTCAATTAAAAAATGTAATGGATCAGGAGGAGAGGAAAAAAGGGTTAACTGTGAAGTTTTAGGAAACCACAGGATGGCTTCCTTCCACCTCCTCCATTGCAAGCTCAGTAAAATTTTGCTTCATATGACTTTATGTATAAGTTTTGTAAGGTGAAAAGGGAAGAAAGTAAAATAATTACTGGTTCTAAAATGTCTTTATTATTAAAAGGAGCTAAAGCCATCAATCTCTGTGGAGGTTTCCTATGACAAGGGAGCAATCTGATACAACACGATGATACAGTATTTATTACAGTGGGCTTTATAGTTTTCTGACTTATTCCTGTAGTATAAATTATTTGATCTTTACTATAACCTGTGATTTAGAAAGAGGTTAAATAGCTGACTTAGGTTCACCAGCAAATTAATGGTTAAACTGGGATTAAAACTGAGCTTCCTGGTTTTCTGTGTGGTAATCCACCTGTTGCAGACCAGATCACACACACAGACAGGATGCGATCTGCCTGGGATCGGGTGGGATGTTCTGTTTCAGACACTAGAGTACGTTTCTCAGTGAAACGGATGCTATTTGTCAGCCAGGGATGAGAGTATGAGATTTAAGAATTCTATAAGCTTTGTCATTCAAAACACTGCACTGATACTGGACTTCAACACAGAGCTCAAAGTGTCTGAACCATTCAGAAGTGAATGGCTAGAGATCTAGACCTAGCACCCGAGAGCTGAAATTGATGGCGAGAGCTAAAGTGAATGCTCCCATAATGGAAACACAGAAAGACATGATCATACCATGAATGTAAGCGCGGTGATGGAGTGAGGATTCGCCCATTTTCATTGGCCTCTGCACCCAGGTGTTTGTACAGTCATTTATATCTTTACTACATCTTGTTACTGTTCCTTCTCAGGACTATATGCCATCTGCAAGGCATACTGACACTAACCACAGCCTTATTTGCTCCCTCACTAAGAAATAATGCAATTTAAGTCCTTTAGCTTACATTTATAATGAGAGTTCAAAGTTCTCTGTATTTGTTTTTGTTCTTTTTATACCAGGCAAACTCGAACAGTCAGCTGATCATCTAGAATTATTTTTTTTAATCTTCACCCGAGGACATTTTTGCATTTACCTTCAGATAGAGCGGGAGGGAGAAAGGGATGAAGAGAGAGAGAAACATAGATGTGAGAGAGACACATCGACTGGTCGCCACCCACACGACCCCAGCTGGTGCCGGGGACAAACTGCAACCGAGGTGCGTGCCCTTAGTGGGAACCGAACCCGGGTCTCTCTGGACCGCGGGCCAACACTCCAACCGCCGAGCCAAACTGGCCAGGGCAATCATCTAGAATTACTAATTAGAAAAAAATAAACTGTTCATTTGTTTGCCAGGCACATATGAAATTGTTGCTACTGAATTAACTGGTATTTTCCTGTTTCTTATATAGAGTGGAAAACCACCCATCAGTGATATGTTCACAGATCTCAAAGATGGGAGGAAACTCTTGGATCTCCTGGAAGGCCTCACAGGAACATCACTGGTGAGAGGAATCACCTTAGAACCGGGCCAGTGGGGTGCCTGACTCTGATCATTCGTGGTACTTGATGTCTCCTGGGGCTGCTTAATATGTAAAAGCTGAAATTTGAATGTTTAAAAAAATTATTATTATTTTTTATCCTCACCTGAGGACATTTTGGCATTTATCTTCAGATAGAGCGGGAGGGAGAGAGTGAGGAAAAGAGAGAGAGACTTTGATGTGAGAGAGACACATCTACTGGTTGCCACCCACACGACCCCAACCGCGCTGGGGACCAACTGCAACCGAGGTACGTGCCTTTAGCAGACATCAAACCTGGGACCCTCTGGTCCATGGGTCAATGTTCTAACCACTGAGCAACTGGCCAGGGCTAAAAAAAATGTTTTAATAAATATTTAGGCTTTCCGGGGGGAGGGGGTGGCTCCGTGTTTATTAAAGATAAAATTACTGTTAATATTTATTGCTCTCAGACAGTCCAGTAGAGAATTATAAAGAAGAGTGAATATGTAAAGAGGACATAATGTTTCGAATGGCAGAGCATGTAGAGAAACAAATGTTATGTAACAGATGTTAAAACAAGGTTGTTAAAAACTTATTTTTAACGTTTTTTTAATTTTTATTTTTATTCAGCATTTATTTTTATTCAGCTTTTCAGTATTATCTTTGTGTTTGTTTCTCCATTAAATCCCACTCAATTACTTTATGTGTAAGGTACAGAAATAACTCTGCTAATGAAGAGGATGCATTTTATGAATACAAACTTTAACACTAGAGGCAGCATTACTGTAAAAGGTTTAGAGAGATGCACTCTCAAAGGTGAATTCCTTTCTTACCGAAAGGGGGCTGGGACACTCTCCCTTTTGCCCTCCAGATGGTGGGTAGGCCCTGTGGAGAGGCGGATGCCTCCCTCCGATTAGATTCCTGGCCAGGGAGGCAGAGAGAAGCCACCTAGATCACCTTTCCCCGGGTGGCATGTTTGCCTTCCCAGTGGGCCCCTGTGACGTCAGCTGGAACCTGGGATAGCACCTCGGATCCCCCTGCTCTGTCTACAACTGGTGCAGTGTGGAGGTGACCCCAAACTTGTTCCCACATCAGAATCACCAGGGAATTCTAAAAATTCCAAACCCAGACTACACGGAGACTGGCTAAGTCGCAGTCTTTGGGGGTGGGGTCAGGCAGAGGCATTGGTATTTTTGGAAGCTCCCTGGGAGATGTCAGTGTCCAGACAAGCTGGGGAACTACCACCTCAAGGTGCTGCAGGAGGGGAGTTTCCCCTCCGTGAGCAGCAGCCCCCACGCGGACCCAGAAAGTAGCCTGAGCTGCTGGTGCAGGGGGCTCTCCATGCTGAGTGTACTCTCTGCCCGCCTGTGTGCCACCTTTTGTCCGGATGTGGAGGGACGGTCTCGTTTGATCTTGTGCCTTGTTTTCCAGCCAAAGGAACGTGGTTCCACGCGGGTGCACGCTTTAAATAATGTCAACAGGGTGCTGCAGGTTCTACACCAGAACAATGTAAGTTTGCCCTGTGACCTTTGGGGTTCTCATGCCATCTGGATTTTTGATTGTGGGAACGAGCCACCTGCTCTGTGCGCGGGCATTGACTAATTTTTGGCAACATTTTTCTTATGAGAAGTTTTGAACCTTTTCTATGAGTGAAGGAACGGTGGTGCTTTTTCTGCTTGCTTTATTGATTTCGTAAATAAATAGTCCATTTTTGAGATTTAGGTTTCCCTGCTTCTCCAAAGTGAAATTTCTCTTATCCGTCACGTGTATTGCTGGCCAGGTGTGCTCCAACAAAGCCCTGGGCTTCTGGGGAGAAATGGTCTCAAACCTGATTGTGTGTCTGTAGGTGGATTTGGTGAACATAGGGGGAACTGACATCGTAGACGGGAACCACAAGCTGACTCTGGGGCTGCTTTGGAGCATCATTTTGCACTGGCAGGTAGGACATTTCAACCACTTGTCAATAGACTTCGAAAATGTATCATTTGTGTATTAGTTTCTTGGGGTTGTCGTCGAAATGACCACAAACTGGGTGGCTTCAACGACAGAAATCGTTTCTTCACAGTTCTGGAGGCTCCACACCTGAGATCCAGGTGTCAGCGGGTTGATTGTTCCGAAGCCTCTCTCCTTGGCTTGTAGAAGGTCCCCTTTCCCTGTGCTCCCCCCATGGTCTTCCCTCTGTGTGTGTCCATGTCCCGAGCTTTGCTTCTTGTGCCAAGATACCGGTCATGTAGGATGCGGGTCCCCCATAGGATCTCAGTTTACCTTAATGACCTCTTTCAAGACCCTGTCTCCAAATACAGTCACATTACGAGGTACTAGGGGTTAGGACTTCAACATAGGAAATTTGTGGAGGTCACAGTTCAACTCCTGACGACTGGGAATGGAACAGACCGGCAGCTGCTCAGAAAAAAGCACAGAAAAAAAAAGTGTCTTTTTAAAATAATTGACTTAAAAGAATTCACACTTATCAAAAAGTTGCAAAAATAGCTTAGAGAATTCCCACATACCTTTACTCAGATTCCCCAAATGTTAACAGTTGTCTCTATTTGTGTTCTTTCTCTCTTTGCCTAAATGCTTCAGTGTGTATTTTCTAAAAACAAATTGTTCTCCTAAAATCGAGGAATTCTCTTACGTAGCTACAACCTATTATCATAATATAAAATGTGTACTATAACATTAGTGTTTCTAATGTATTTATCACGTCTCTTTCATCTTCTTTAATCTGAAATAGTTTCTGAGTCTTTCTTTGTGTTTTATGATATGCACATCTTTGAAAAGTACCGAACAGTTACCTTGTAGAATGTCCCTTCGTGTGGGTTTGGCTGATAGTTTCTCATGATTAGATTCAGGTTGTTCATTTTGGGCAGGAATGCCACAAAAGTGACATGGAGTTGTTCCTAGTGCATTCCCCATGAAGCACATACTGTCCATTGGCTTTTTGGGCAGGACTTTCATCATTTGGGTAAAATGGTATTTGCATATGTTTCCACTCTAACGTGACTGCCCTGTGTTATTAAAAATGTCTTGTGAGATATACTTTGAGACTGTAAATATTCAGCTACTTATCAAGTCTTTGTCCGTGAGTTGTAAGAGCCTTCATAATTCTTAGCTGATCAGTTACTATTATGATGCTTGGCAAATAGTAATTTTTCTAATGTCATCATTCTTTCTGCATTCTATTAACTGGCTTCTACTTGCAAGGAATTGCTTTCCCTAGTCTCCTATTTATCTGTCTGCCTTTATCTATCTGCTTTTTTATTCATTCATTCATTGTACACTCAGTGTACACTCATGGATTTTTACATATTTAATAGGTTATAATCTTTTGCTGTTATTAATTTTGATGCTTAAATTTTCCTAGGTTTGGCCCATGTGAATGATCCCCCTTACATCAGCTCTATGTCCTTTTGATATGTCCACATCATTCTTTGAGTACGTCCTTAAAACACCTGTATTACTTTAGAATACTAATGTAAAGGATTAGTTCTTGATTAAAATCAGGAAAGGTGCTTCATTCTTTGATTTTGAATTCAGTCAAAAGTTCTCTCTTACATCCTCATCTTTTGTAGAAAATCAAAACTGAGTTTTCTTCCTATTAAAAGACCTTTGTAAATGTATAGTATTAAAATGTTACTTTTTTAGTGACTATGAAATGTTTATTGTAACCAAACCTAATATAAGTGTTGCTTAAGATATAGAAAATGCGGTAACATATAATGGTGAGGCAAAAATCACCTCTAGATCCTAGTACCTCAAAAATAATCACTGTTAAAAAGGTACTTATCTTTCTAGTGTTTAAAGGAAAAATTGAAATGCATTGAAGACCAAAGACCTGATTCATACGGTTAACTGATGTAGCCGTCCTCATTCAGGGACTTGGTTCCAGCAACTGCTGAGTCATAGGCAGGCCTGGTGTCTCTTTCGCAGGTGAAGGATGTCATGAAGGATGTCATGTCAGACTTGCAGCAGACAAACAGCGAGAAGATCCTGCTGAGCTGGGTGCGCCAGTCCACCCGGCCGTACAGCCAGGTCAACGTCCTCAACTTCACCACGAGCTGGACCGATGGACTCGCCTTCAATGCCCTTCTTCACCGCCATAAGTGAGACATAGTGTTTAGACGTGGGCTTTCCAAGTGTGGGTCCCTCTCCCCTCCCGCGCTATCATCCCTAACGCCACTCTCCTCTCTGCGCACATGCTAACCAAGTGTTTGAAGAAGAAATACCATGGGGAAACGGCCCGTCAGGTCTTTATTCTGTAGGACTTAAACAGCACGGTGCCATGGCCATGGTTCCTTCTGCATATTTATAAGTTAAAAAATGTAGAATAATTCACATAGTTCAATCCCACTCATTCGGCTCTAACCACTAATGAATACAGCTGGTATTCATTCTTATACCAAAGGGAAAGTTCTATAAATTCAGTGCAATACCAATTAAATGTAGAAAATGATTTTTTTTTTTTCATGAAACTTGTAAACAGATTCTAATTATGTGAAAGACAAGGTCCCAAGAAGAGACAGTGCAATTGTGAAGAAGAAGAACCAGGCTGAAGTGCTTCTCAAAGAGAAACCAAAACAATTTATGAAGCTACATTATTTAAGACTATGTGGTACTATAAATACACTAATATAATTATAGGTTGAACCACATGAAATTGCCAGTATTTGACTTTTTTTTTTTTTTTAATCCTCACCTGAGGACATTTTTTGATATTTTGTTCAGATAGAGTGGGAGGGGGAGAGAGAAACACCGACGTGAAAAGGACACATCAAGTGGTTGCCACCCACATGACCCAAACAGGGCCAGGCACAAATTGCAACTGAGGTACGTGCCCTTAGCGGGAACCGAACCCGGGTCTCTCCGGACCATAGGCTGATGCTCCAACCACTAAGCCAAACTGGCCAGGGTGGTATTTGACTGTTTTTGACATATAACAGTGGCAGTTTCTATTCTTCAGCCTATCAGTAAAGGGCTCAGAAACAGCGTCATCCTAATATACAACTGAACTGATACTGCAGATTAATAGGTGGGATGGGACAACTGGTTACCCATATGTGAACCATTGAATTAGAACCTTACCTCACCACATCCACAAATAAATTTTAGCTGTATCAAGTCTTTAAATGTAAAAGGCAAAATTTGTTATATGTTTTATTAGTATTTTAAATTATTCATGGTCTCAAGTTTTGTTTTCTGTATATTCTTGGCTGATATATAACAATATAATTGACATTTCTACGTCTTAGATCTAGAAACTTGTTAAATTTTTACAAATTTTAAATTTGTTTCTGTAGATTTAAGAAAACATTTTTTTGCAGACTGTCCATGAATTATAATAGTTCCTCCTCTCCTCTCCTGCCCTTCCCTCCTCTCCCTCCCTTCCTCCCTCCCCTCCCCCCTCGATCCCCCCACACACATTTCTTTTCCCTTAATTTGTGCTTGCCCTTCAATACAATGTTGATTTGAATTGGTGATAGTGAAAAAAATATTTTGCTCTTGAAAATGAAGGGAATGGTTTTTATGTTCTACATTAAGAATGGTATTTGCTGTAGCTTTTTTGTTGTACTTTTTATCTGGTTAAAGAATCCTCACACCCAGTCTTTTATTAGTTTAGAGAGGTTAAATTCTGTTCTTAGTTGGATAACAAGTGTAGTTAGAAAACTTGAATTTTAGCCAAAACTTTTCCATTGATTAATTGATTCAATAAGTGTGTTTGTAGTACTTTCTCTGTATTAGCACAGGGTGCCTAGCAGAGAACAAAGCTGGCGAAAATCCCTGTCCTCTTAGAGTTTATGTTCAAATAGAGGGAGGTAGACAATAAAAAAAAAAAAGAAAATGTACATTGCATAGCATAAATAAATGGTAAACTGGCCCTGGCCCAGTAGCTCAGTTGGTTAGAGCATCATCTTGATATGCCAAGGTTTTGGTTCGATCCCTGGTCAGGGCACGGACAAGAAGCAACCAATGAATGCATCACTAAGTGGAACAACAAATTGATGTCTCTCTCTCTCTCCCCCCACCCCATCAGCTCACTCTAAAATCAATAAATAAAAATTAAAAAAAGAAAGAAATAATAGAAGCATCTTGAAGAAAAATGTATGAGGCAGGAGGGTAGGCCAGTGGGCGCAGTGGTGTTAGTAGGGGAGTAAGGAGGTGAAGTCAGAGAGGGCACGGGAGTGGGCGTGGGAGGCACATTCCAGAAGGTAGGTGGGTCGAAGATGCAAACAGATGGAATGCGAAGAAATGATCAACTTCTGGGTCAGTTAAAGCAACACGTCCAATTTGTGGGGTTATAAGAAAATCTAGATAGAAGTAAATACTAGACAATAGTAATATGGACGGGGGTGGGGGGAGGTGACTGGAGGGAAATTCTCGCAGGGCTTTTGTTTTAGGAATATCCTGTGAACAGATTAAAGCTGGAAGTTCTACTCTGCTAGTCTTGGTCTTTCAATAAGAGAATTAGTCCATTTATATTAATTGCAATAATTGATGTAGTTAGGTTCATTTTTTTACTAATTATTTTGAGCTTTTCATTTCTCTTTTTTGTATCTATATTTTTTCTTTCTTGTCTTACATTAATAGATCCCCCCCCCCCCTTTTTTTTCTTTTACTATTTGGGAAATATTATATACTATTTCTACTCTTTTAGTGGTTACTCCAGAAAATGTAATAGGCGTATTTAAAAAAACAAGAATATTAGAATGTTGTATCTGTTGTTTTCATATTTATAAGTTACTTTAAAAATATTATATATTTGACAAGTCATTGGGATATAAAGTTAAACTTTTTAATTTAAACTCACAAACAAAAAGTCTAAAACTGAAATATATTAGATTATAACAGTGACCACTGTTTCCACATGTTTTGTCTTCATTGCATTTTATTTGCATGGTGTTTTCAGACCCGATCTCTTCAGCTGGGACAGAGTTGTCAAAATGTCCCCGATTGAGAGACTTGAACATGCCTTTAGCAAGGCTCAGACGTATTTGGGAATTGAAAAGCTGTTAGATCCTGAAGGTATTGTTCAGCATTTAATTTCAACCTTGATTTTGCTTTACAATTTTGAATATTGAAGAGCAGTGTTTTTTTGTTTTTTTAATTTGTTTAGAGGGAATTATGAGAGTTGAGTAGTGTTCTTCCTTTTGAAATTGGTGCAAGTAATTATATTGCAAAGTTATTCTTACTTTTGTACTTAACAATTTGTAGGATCCCTTAGGAGGAAGTTTAATTACATCATTGGAGAAGTTATTTGATACCAGCATAAGCTTTAAAGTTTTAAGAAAATATAATTACTAGATAAACAATTCAGTATTTGGTTTATTTTATTTAAATGCATTTTTACATAAGATTCTTGGATATGATGTGAAAACTTTAGTTACAAATGTTGTAGGGTTGAATCATGTGAACAAAATCTGTCATTATCTAAAATGGTAGTTTATCTTTGAGTATCTGAGAGAAGCTTCTAGGGAAGAATTTTAGGACACGGGATTCTGAACAAAAATAAGAAAGTGTCTCTGCCTTTACCTCATCTATTATTATATGAAATAGAAACTCACTGAACTATGGTATTGCAAAGACTATATAATTGTATTGTTTATGGGTACTAAGAATAGTTATTTTATGTCTCCTATGGAGCAGTTCACATATTTTGGGCATCTAACTGAAGCTGGTCTTTTTCTTCCCCTTCTAGATGTTGCTGTCCAGCTTCCTGACAAGAAATCCATAATTATGTATTTAACATCTTTGTTTGAGGTGCTACCTCAGCAAGTCACCATAGACGACATCCGAGAAGTGGAGACGCTTCCAAGGAAATACAAGAAAGAATGTGAAGAAGGAGATATGAATATACAGGTACAGGTACATATATATATATATATTTTTAGATAGAGTGGGAAGGAGAGAGAGGAAGAGAGAGAGAGAGAGAGAAACATCGACATGAAAGGGACACATCGAGTGGCTGCCTCCCACACAACCCAACCAGGGCCGGGGACAAACTGCAACCAAAGTACGTGCCCTCAGCGGGAACCGAACCTGGGTCTCTCTGACCACAGGCCGATGGTCTAACCGCTGAGCCAAACTGGCCAGGGCTACAGGTACATTTTTATTGAAATGTTTGACTTGCCATATTTGTTATCTCTTAGGTACTAAATAACACTTTTAGGGGATTTTTTTCTTGACTGAGAACATCTTGGCTTGTCTGCTTACATAAGAAGTTTAGTTCATCAGTTAGCATGCTGTCCCGTGTCACATGCATGTATGGAAAACTGTAAGTCAGCTGAATTCATAAGAAGGAAAATAGTCTGGCCAGTGTGGCTCAGTGGTTGAGCATTGACTCATGCTCCAAGAGGTCACAGGTTCGATTCCTGCTCAGGACACATGCCCAGGTTGTGGGCCAAACCCCCAGTGAGGGGCATGCAGGAGGCGGCCAGTCTATTTTCTCTCTCTCATCGATGTTTCTGTCTCTCTCTCCCTTTCCCTTCCTCTCTCTCTAAAATCAATAAAGGAAAAAAAATTAAAGAAAAAAAAAAAAAAGGAAGGAAAATATACTATTTCTCACAGCAAGGGGGTCCAGGGCTGTGATCATGCCACTGTATGACATGCTTAAGAACCAATGTCTTTCCATCATTTGGTCACCGTTTCTCATCACTGCCATTTTGTGCTAAAGATGGTTTTTCTCATGTCAGCCTACTTTTGTTCTAGGTACTGATTTTCTTTTTGCCCTTAACAAAAGGATTGTAACCATTATATTTTTACCAGGTCTATCAAAATACAAGCTTTATTTTCTCTTTTATTTAGGAGGAATAATTGAGAATATGTTACTTGGTAGATTTTTTACTTAAAGGCTTATAATGTTTTTTTATTCATTAGGATAAAAATGAGTACTCCAGGAGACATAAATAAAGTCATGAATTTTTCTTCCTGAATTATCCTGCCTTGAATTAATTTATATTTTATCTTATTCTGTTTTAGTCTAACCAGTCCTCTTAATTCATAAAATGAGAGAATCTTAACAGCTGGGTAAGACCTTAAAAGGTCATTGGGTCCAACATTTCAGCAACCCAGAGATACACATGAATTTCAAAATGATGCGAAATGATGTTTCAGAGAAGCGGAAAACGGGCTTACATTTTATTCCTGTCCCTACTTGCTTTGGATTGGTCACTTACCCTCTCAACCACAGTTTTATCTGTAAAATCTGGATGAAACCACCCTCTCCATAAAGATAAGGAACTCAGAGTGTCTAAAGTAATATTAATAAGCACTCCGTAAACAGCAGCTATCATTATTATAGTTTTCCCTTCTTAATTTGTTTTAGTATTCATTCTCACTGCACAGGTGCCTTTTAAAAAATATTCATTAATTCTCATAGAGTGATAAAGCTCTTGAATTGGTATCGCATATTTTTTTCTTTCCTTTTCTAAGGTTCAGAGAACTTAGTTCAGATTTTGGGGGGTAGTAGGTACAACCCTTTTAACTACTTCATTTAAAAAATAGCATGATTTATGGAAGAAGAAAAAAACTCATTGAGGAGAAGAGGCGAGAGATGGGGCCAGATTGTGAACCTAGGGGGCTCCTTTTGTTAGTTTTAAAGATCACATGGTGCTGAGGAAAAGCTGTGATTTTTTTTTAGAATTGGCTGAAAATGCTGAGAAGCGTTTGTTTGGTGTAGTTATCATCCTGTACTAATGATGCATCATTTTAAGTGGCTCAGATCATCTTCTGAGGTCGATTTTTGGTTTGAGTCATTTGTTTATTGAATGGGGCTCCTTTTGTTAGAAAGCTGGAGTAGTTGACTTCTCCTCAAGCCCATTCTCTCTTAAAAAGGGAGGAGAGTTCATTTGCCTTCCATGCTGTGTGGATAAAGCGATCACTTTTGGGGCCCAGGGTGGCTGATAAGAATTGCAGAAGCCCTTTGCGGTTTTGATTAAAAGCAAGTGCATTGGCCCTGGCCGGTTTGGCTCAGCGGTTGGAGCATCAGCCTGCGGACCAGAGAGTCCCGGGTTCGGTTCCAGCTAGGGGCATGTACCAAAAAAAAAAAAAAAAAAAGCAAGTGCATTAACATTAACCTCTTTATTTACATGCTTTCATTTGTGCCTTAGAGACCGAATTAAGCTAGTTGAAGAAGTAAAATGTGGTCTAGTTTTAACCACCGACTGTCTGACCGAGCTCGCCCTCGGTTCTTCGCAGTGAATGCTAACAGCCTGCTCTCTCGCTCCGTCTCTACCAACGAGCCAAAGTGAGGTGGTCGGCCAAGTCGATCTGGCATTTCTCTTTAACTTCTTGGTTGAAAGTCTCCTCTTGTGTTTCAGTTAATGCCTTCTGAACATGTGCATTGAGATAATGTGTTCCATCCATCTCCCACCTCCCTGGGTCCAGTGTTTATCTCAGCAACCTTGGGCTGGTCACACACTAAGTTTCCAATTCTCAGATAGTCTCATGAGAGCCTGGGGGCTTGGTACCAAACGTTCTCCGGGGTTATTTTGGCTCTACAGCTTCAGAACGTGAGACCCAGAACTGAACTCATGTTCCCTTCTCTGCCTTTGGCATCCTGTGTCCTACTTATCCTGTGTTTCATCAGTGTGCTCTCTGGCTGGTTTTTGTAACCCCTACGTACAGTTTACTGGGCCTGTTTGATTCCCCCTCCAGATGTCTCTGGTCCGTGTTTTCTCTCTGTTCCAGCCTTCATGCCAACTGAAGACCTCACCTTCTCTTGTCGCTACAACACCCAGCCTGCCCCCACAGTTCATCCCAGGCCCCTCCCTGCGGTCACGGTGGCCTGTCTCCTCTCCTTCCCCACGAGCCTTGAGCATGTGGCTTTCTCTCTCTGAAATGCTCCTCCACCCACTGTGCTCATGGTCAGCGTCCAGTCTTTCCTCCGTTTCAATGGACCTTTTTCAGAGACGTCGTCCCCGATTCACTCACTGCAGGCCAACCCTACACACACTTACACACTCACACTCATTCAGTTTCTTGCTGTCTCAGTGGTTTTGTCAACTATGTGAAGAATTTTAAATGGTGTCTTATGGCACTGGGGAAACAGAGAGAGATTTTACGTGGGGGAGTCTCGTGATGCGCCTACATTTTCAGAGATCGTCTGGCGGCTGAGGGAGGAGTGGGCTGTCGAGGTGGGAGAGTGGGCGGCGACGGGACGTAAGACACCAGTGAGCAGACAGCAGGCTGTTGTCCCGAGGACAGACGGTGGTGGTGGAGGAGATGGAGAGGACTGGATGGCTGGGAGACACATTTTGAAGGTAGGAATGGCTTCCTTATCAAATGTGAGAGGTGGAAGAAAGAGAGAAAGCAAACTTCTGGTCCTTAGCTGGAGGAGGTCAGTGCATGAAGGAGCCGTTCGCAGACATGGGAAATCCAAGGAAGAAGACGCTTGGGGAAGAAACGAGGTACACAGGCACGGGTTGATGTGCCTTTGAGACACTGAAGTGAAGAGGTTAAGGTAGTTGGACAGAGGAGTTTGGAGTTTGGGACCAGAAACATAAAGGCATTGCCTGTGGGATGCAGATGGTTCTTTAAATTCCATAGCAGTGAATGAAACCTCCCAGACCAAGTACACAGAATAGAAAAAGGGCCGGGACTGCATTTTCAGGAGATTCATTACGTGCAGGTTGGCTGTGGCACCAGAAGGAAACCAATACGGTGTCCCTGAAGCAGGGAAAGGGGGCTTGTAGAGGGCGGGGTTCAAGCCACCGGAGCACTGCTGAGAACTTACGTAAGAAAGGGGGCGACCCCTTCTCAGGATCCGCTGGGAACAGTTCTGGTGTATGTGTGTTCTCCCAGCACCGTTTGTTGGTTAATTACATGGTCACCCTAAAGGTGATGCTAGAAAAGCGGCTTTGTCAGTGGGAAGGGTGTTGGTGACATTGGCAAAAGTCTTTTCCGTTGAGTGATGGGGACCAATACCGAATCTGAAAGGGCGTGTTACGAATTGTAGCTGTCAAATGCCTGGGCATTTCTTATAGTGTTCTCTAGACATTTTGTGTGTTTGAAATCCATACAGATTGTGGATGAGAGGTGATTAAGTACAGAAGTTCTGCCCTGCAAGGGAACAAATGAACAAGAGACAGTTCATTTGGTTATAAGGTTCTAAAGTATATAGAAAATATTCCAGCCCTGGCCGGTTTGGCTCAGCGGTTGGAGCGTCGGCCTGTGGTCCAGAGAGACCCGGGTTCGGTTCCCACTGAGGGCACGTACCTCGGTTGCAGTTTGTCCCCGGCCCTGGTTGGTCGAGCGGGTGGCAGCCACTCGATGTGTCTCTCACATCGATGTTTCTCTCTCTCTCTCTTCCTCTCTCTCCCTCCCGCTCTATCTGAACAAAAAATGTCCTCGGGTGAGGATTAAAAAAAAAAAAAAAAAAGAAAAGAAAATATTCCATTGCTTGAGATAAATTTAGTCCCATGGGCTTTTAAAAAAAAAAAAAAAGCCAGCAGGTAAACCAAAGGACAACCACCTCCAAAATATACATCAGCAGCCTCTGTGTGTCAAAAATAAAATGCTGAAGTGCATTTCAGTCAAAGCCGTTTGACTAGGGTCAAAGCAGAGTTCTAATCTTGATTTCCTTTTCTTTAACTTATATTTGTCCTTTAAGGCCCAACATGATCCTGTAAGAAGCTTTCCTATTTTAGCCCTTGCTGAACTCAAATAGCATCTCTTGTTGGAGCCATGGAATTTATAACTGTGCTGATAGCCATTTAGTTCTGTTCAGAAGTGACCCGGTGGGTTTGCCTCTTCCCAGCTAGGTTAGCATCCCCGTGAGCGCAGGATCGGGAGGGCATCGCTTCTCCGCCTCTGCCACCCCGGCACCCTTCATGAGCACTGTCCCCCTGGCTCCGGGCACGGCGCGACCAGCACCCGAGAACTGGCTGAACCCCAAGACACAGTGGGTTCTTCATACCCGAGCGTTCTCCATACAGTGTGTCTCTGCTGAACACCTCATCTTCACATCGCATGTGTGTTTTCTCCCGGCTTCGTTTCCCTAGAGCTCGGCGCCGGAGGAGGGGCACCGGAGCCCCCGGGCTGACACCCCCAGCACCGTCACTGAGGTCGACATGGATCTGGACAGCTACCAGACAGCCCTGGAGGACGTGCTGACTTGGCTGCTTTCTGCCGAGGACACTTTCCAGGAGCAGGATGACATCTCTGATGATGTGGAAGAAGTCAAAGAGCAGTTTGCCACCCACGAAGTAAATAATCTGTAGCCGATGAGTAGGATCTGTCTGCCACCGTGGTGCCTGTGCCTTATCAGGGGCTCTGCCCTGATATGTATGTTTACCCAATTCTGCTCCACAGAAAGGTCGTGGCGCATTTTAGGACTTGCGGCATTTAAATAGGACTTTGTTATAGAGTTGGCGTGGGTGATTAACTGCATGGGAATTAGGTTTCAGACTTTAGCTTGGTTGTCCCTTGTGTACTCTGTGGAGCCCCGGGCACAGAGCACCGCCCGGTGCTGCTGGTTTCTGTATTGTTCCAGTTACAGCACATGATGGCTCATCAGTGCACCAAGTCTTTGGACTAAGAATATTCCCAGAAAGTGATTATTTTTATTTATTGTAGGACTAAGCAAATGTCATATCTAGCGTTCATGTACCATTTTATACAATGAAAATGTCCTACTATTTTGAGGATATATTATATTGCACCGTAGTGATTTGATCATATGAAGATTTCTTTTTGATTAAGTAGTTTTATTGTTGTTTTTTGGTGCTGGTATGTTAATTGACAGGTCTTATTTGCTTTTCTGGTTTGAAAAATAATAGAAATTGTCATATTCTTTAAACAGTTCCTCTTGGGTGAGCATGGTGTTTTATTTATTCTATTTCCTCATAATTCCATGTCCATGGTCTATCAGTATCATAATCAGCATCTACTTAAAAATAGTTGCTATTATCAGTTGTAATATTGTTCTCTTCGATCCAGTCCCCTTTTTACTGAGGACAGCTGCTTCTTTCCTGTACTCGAAGTTAGTCAAAGTCTCCTGTATGTTCTACATGGCTACCTTTTTCCTGCAGCTTTGATATTAAAGCATTAACAATTTCTTCAGTTTTGTGCAATGAGCAGCCCACAAATCGTAATGCTGTACTTTTCTAGGCTTTTATGATGGAGCTGACTGCACACCAGAGCAGTGTGGGGAGCGTCCTGCAGGCAGGAAACCAGCTGATCACGCAAGGAACCCTGTCTGATGAGGAGGAGTTTGAAATTCAGGAGCAGATGACCCTGTTGAATGCTAGATGGGAGGCACTGAGGGTGGAGAGCATGGACAGGCAGTCCCGGTGAGTGGCAGCAAAGAAATGAACACTTTACCCCACAAAGTGCATTGCCCAGTTTAGCTGAAATAAAAGTCTGTATGTCTGTGAGAGCAAGATAATTACAGAGCCCGCCTTGTAAAATTTTACTCTTCTCTTTGTGGGATGTTGCTTCAGTTTTGTATGATCTTTGTTTCTCCTTTGATGTGTTAACCAAATTAAACAGTAGAAGTCGGAGTACCATGAAAAAAAAAAAAAGTTGGAGTACCGAAATTAGAGAAAAGGAAAAGAGACACGTCCTATGGACAGTTATTGATCTGCAGTATTAAAATTGGCAAACCATCAACTCCTTATGAAGACAGGATGGTGTAGTATTTATTTACAATTTGGCTTTGTAACATTTTTTAAAGCAGTCCCCCACCCCGTGGTTCATTTTATTTCCTGCATTGTGTGTATTAAGGAGCAAACTACATCCCATTGCAATTTAATGTGCAGGAATTCCTGATGGAAGAAACAATGATTTAGAGACCAATGGTGGGTCTGTTGTTTGCATTCTCTGACTGCATTTAATGGACTCCATGTAGGGAGAACATGAAAGTTTTTTTGCTCATTTCTATATTTAAAGGCTAAATGCTACTTTAAGTGGTTAGGCGGGAATGCGTTTCTTTGCTGCTGTGTGTATCTGCCCTTGCAAAGGGGCAGAGCCGGTGGGAGTCATCTGTGCCCCCCCCGCAGGCTGCATGACGTGCTGATGGAACTGCAGAAGAGGCAGCTGCAGCAGCTCTCTGCCTGGCTAACACTCACGGAGGAACGCATTCAGAAGATGGAAACTTGCCCCCTGGATGATGATTTACAATCTCTACAAAAGCTGCTGGAAGATCATAAAGTAAATCTGGCTCGTATTTCTTTTCTACCTTTCCAAACATCAAACAGTAGCACTTAGCATTCTCAGGGGCTTCTGTCGTTAGTGCAGAGATGGGACAATTCTTCAGTGCCCTCTGTTAGTCAGCAGCTTGAGGGTGGGTTCATGGGGATGTGGCTTTTCTGGGATGCATGCACAGGGACATTTCATTTGGGTACGTATAATTCTCTTAGGGACACACATAGCTTTCATACGATTTTCAAGGGTTGTTTGGGTCTATAAGTGGTTAAGAACCCTAGTGCGTGGGCATCCATGCTGTGTGCAGGTAAATAAGCAAACCCTCAGATTACCTGTACCCAATCCTTTAAGAAAAGCTATTGCTTCTTCTCTGATCTAGGAAAGTGTAGGGCACCAGGTGAAGAATCAGAATTTGGTGGACAGTTTAATTTGGTCACACCTTTAGGAGATAACTTTTCATGGTCAAGGAAAGGGAGGGCTAATAGCTTCTCTGCAAGTTGTTTGGATAATCTGATTTTTCAATGAAATGTCTGGATAACTGATAAATAAAGCTTTGGGGATACTTTAAATGCAACTCAAGAGGCATGTGACAACACTATTGGTAGTGTTTGAATAAATTACCTGTATACATACGGTCTCCGCACCTGCCTTGCTCTTCCTGTGGAAGAGGTGAGCTCATCTGTGTGTCCTCAAGTGCTTTCCTGGAGAGCTCATCGGAATAGCTTCCAGCTACAGGTAGCATCTCCTTATCTCTCACTTTATGCCTTGCCGCACTAGAGAAATGGTCTTTGGATAGTTAAATTCAGGACTACTTTTGATTTACCAGGTCTACATTCTCATCTTACTTCCTAGTACAGACATTCAACTCATTTATGCTACATTATTTTTTGCCAGAATTCAGAATGAAAGGCATGACATCCCATTTGCAACCTGTTATGACCTTGCATTTTGAAACTGCTTTGGTTCATAATGAAATGTAAAGATGTATAACAGGCTTGTTTCATCAGCAGAACATTTAGGGTAATGGTTGGAAATTTAAACATGGTGCCTCATTAAATGTCCTCAATTACTACTGACAACCGAGTGGATTTTAAACAAGTACATGTGAAAGAGTAGAAATAATGGTGTATCTGAATTTTTTTCTTTCTAGAGCTTGCAAAATGATCTTGAGGCTGAACAGGTGAAGGTGAATTCATTAACTCACATGGTGGTGGTGGTTGATGAAAACAGTGGAGAGAGTGCCACGGCTGTCCTGGAAGGTCAGTTACAGGTAAGCGCTCCGAGAGGGGTCCAAGGCACCTGTGGCCTGAGACCCAGTGACATCTGCCCTTATTCCTTATGTCCTATCACACTGTTTATGGAGAAGAGCAGAAGAAGCTACTTTAGGTCGTACCTCCCAGTTGGGGTTCCACAGCCTATGGTTACAGGACTACCTTGGATCATTCCTTGACATCAGCTCCTGGGATGAGTGGGCGGGGCGGCTTGAGGTCACAGCTTCCTTGTGAGGAATAGTAATAAGGCTGGGAAGCACCAGAGCTGATCTCCACAGGTGGTCCATAGGTTTCTTGCTCAGAATCACTTGAGGAATGTGTTACAGTGTAGATTCCTGGGCTCCATGCAGACCTGAACTCTTGGGAGTGGGGCTCAGTGGACCTGCACTTTAAAAAAAATGTGGAAAACACTATGGTGTTACCTCAAAAGTTAAAAATTGAACTGCCAGTGATCCCACTTCTAGGAATACATCCTTAGCAGCCTGAAACACCAATCAGAAAGAATATATGCATCCTTATGTTCATAGCAGCACTATTTACAATAGCTAAGATCTGAAAACAGCCCAAGTGTCCATCAGTAGATGAATGGACAAAAAAGCTGTGGTACATATACACAGTGGAGTACTATGCAGCTATAAGAAAGAAAGATCTCTTACCCTTTGAGATGACATGGAGGGACCTGGAGAGTATTATGCTAAGCAAAACAAGCCAAGCAGAGAAAGACAAATATCACATGATCTCACTTATTTGTGGAATATAATGAAGTAAACAAACTGATGAACAAAATTGACCCAGAGACAGGTAGGGTACAGACTGACAAACCTCAGAAGAGGAGGTGTTGGGGGGGAAGAGATAAACCACAGAACTTATATGCATGTATGCATAACCGATGGACATGGTCAACAAAGCTGGGGATGGGGTGGGGGTGGGGGTGATGGGGAGGAGGGTGTCAATGGGAAGAAAAGGAGAAACATCTGTAACAAAAACAAATTAATAAAAATAATTTTATAAAATGTCCGTGCATATTGAAATTTGAGGATTTCAGCCACATAGGATTTAATATCCCCGTTTCTTTGGTGAATCAGTGTGTGATTTCAACAACAGTTTTGGGGACCCCAACAAATTGCTTCTTTTTCTGCAAAGGTTATAGTGGAAAGTCTTTAAAAAGAGAATGATTGGTATTTCATTTGAATAACACTGGGATTATCCTCTGTGATGTTTCCAGTTTATGATTTTCAGAAACTTTCAGAGTATACTTTCATCATATGAAATCCTTTTTGTTTTGTTTCATCATTTAAAGTTGGCCAGGGGTTCAGAGACTTGTGCAGAAGTACTTAGTTATCACAGTAGTCTGAGAGGTGGGCAACAGTGAAGAAACTGAAATTCAGAGACACGAGGCGATGCCTTTGAGAGTTAGACAGTGAGTTTTCATGCTGAGACCTATCTTCTGGCTCTAAGTTTTCTACCCTTTGAACTGAACAGAGCTTTTTATGGTATTAAATATCAAAATAAGATAATGTGAATTAAATAATTCTTGTTCATATGTAAGTAATGTAGAAATAAAATAGAACATTTCTTAATCATTATTTATTAAATGGTACCAAAATAATTTGTTGGGAAAGCCATCATGAAGAATGACTTTTTGTTTTTTATTTTATTTATTTATTTTTTTGTCGTCACCTGAGGACATTCTTCCATTTTTTGTTCAGGTAGAGTGGGAGGGAGAGAGAGGAACAGAGAGAGAGAGAAACATCGATGTGAAAGGGACACATCGAGTGGCCGCCACCCACACAACCGACCAGGGCTGGGGACAAACTGCAACCGAGGTATGTGCCCCCAGCGGGAACTGAACCCGGGTCTCTCTGGACCGCAGGCCGACGCTCTAACCGCTGAACCAAACTGGCCAGGGCAAGAATGACTTTTTGAAATAAGTAGTGAAATGTATTTATTTAGTATGCTAATACTTGTACACATTCTACTGCCAAATTTTGGGGTATTTTCTATGGATTATGTGATATAAACAGAAAAAAAAATCAATTAAGTATATTTAACAGGAATTCTCTCATTCAACACAGTTTTTATAAGGTTAAAATTTTATTTTTGTATGACAGATGAAAATTTTCTTGGCATGTAAAAGATGGTTAAGAAATTATTGATGCTTTGAATTTTGTTTTAAAGATAATTATAGCCTGAGACAAATCGAAGCACAAAAAGGGGATATTTGATCTATTTTGACAATGTATGTGAAAATGTTAAATTCTCAAGTAAAAACCACAATAAAATAGAAAGAGCTGGAATTTGAAGTAGAAAATTACAGGATAGACTTCTAGTTGTGCTACTTTTTAGCTAAGTAATTAGTTGCATTCTACAGAAATTAGTTCTTCTCATCTATAAATTTATAGGATTCATCTGTATTATTTTAAAACAAATATATATATATTTTTTAATAAGTTGCTACTTTGTAATAGAGAACAGTAGGTGCCAAGAATTTCTTTAAGGGTCATAGCTATCTCTTAAGGCTCTGTGGACCAAGGATGGCTCCTTCCCCTTCTAGAAACTCGGCGAGCGTTGGACAGCAGTGTGCCGATGGACTGAAGAACGCTGGAACAGGCTACAAGAAATCAGCATGTTGTGGCAGGAGTTGCTGGAAGAACAGGTATGAAACTGCTATCCGTATGGTCAAAGTAGAGGGTGAATGGGAACTCACCTTTAATAATGGCATTCAAATAAGGTCTTCTGTACTTTTCTTCTAAAGGAACATTTACAAATAATTAGTTATCATTTTAAAAGTCAGATTTGTATCCATTTTACTCAGAAATTATTCATAGAGATTGTATTATATGGCTCCTTTGAAAGAACACTTTGATCTGTGTTTATTATTTGGAGTGTTACTGTGTAGATATACCCCTTTCAGGGTTTGCTTGACATCATTTATTGCATTTGTGTTGAACTTGTATCAACACAGTACCTAGCATATAGTTTGTGCTTAATAAGTAATGAATAAATGAATCCACTCAGTACTTTGTGGCCTTTAAGTCACAAGCATTTTTTATTGATTTTTGAACAGAATAACTACTGCAATTAGCTAGAAAACATTATTTAGCAACACCACTGATTTAGCACTTGGGTGATAGCATATGTTTCCCACTAAAGAATACCGCGGTAAGTGGACCTTTGGCACAAAGCTGCCACCGTACGTTTCAGTCAGAGTGGTAGCCCTTTGCCCACCTCCCACCTTCCAGAAAAGCACATCAACACAGAATGCAAATCAGCAACACGTTTTTCTGAAAACACCAAACAGTTGTGGTTTAGAGAATAAGCAGATGCTCTATTCCCACATCTCAGTGTCTATTTTGATTCTTTTAAATGCATTTTATTTCCATCTGTAAAAAAGAAACTATATTCTTTTCAGGTGATAAAAACACATGCATAATGTTCTGTGGTTTATTAAATATGGTGCAGACAGAACATCTTCAAAATTGGGGTGCAAAATTTGTCTCAGTATAAATTGTGAATCACTACTCCCTGCCCCTAGTCATTGATCACAATCTTCCTATTAAGAATCACATAATGGACCTGGTTCTGATTTCTGAAATATTTACAGTTCACTACAAATATTTACATTTAGTCAGAGTCTTCTTTTCACATCAAAGCGTAACATCGAATAGTTAAAATTTCCCTTTAATAATGACAGAGAAAGCCATTGTGTTATTTTTCTGCTAAATAACTTAACTTAAAATTTGGAAAAAAAATTTTTTATTTTTAATTCTTATCCAAGGATATTTTTTCCTTTTATCTTTAGTTTGAGTGGGAGGGGGAGAGAGAGAGAGAAACATCAACTGGTTGCCTCCTGCATGACCCGACCAGGGCCGGGACCAAACTGCAACCGAGGTACCTGCCCTTGACTGGAATAGAACCTGTGACTCTCTGGTCTGTGGGCCAATGCTCTAACCACTTAGCAAAACTGTCCAGGCCTAAAATTTGGGAAAAAAAAAATAATTTGGTAAATAAAAATACTTAAAAATAGGGAGTAGCTAGAACTTTGGCCAATATTTTAGGTTTAAAACTGACCTTTGGACGACTTTCTGCTGGAGATATGGAAGGAGGGAGCTTGTGATAAATGGAGAGTTGAAGCCCACATGGGTACTTCACAGAGAGACAATTTGCTGTTGCAGGAATGAGCCCAAGTCAGCTGCCTCTGAATTAGAAAACTCTCTCGGGATTATTGTGCACTCCGCTGCGGAGGCTTTGGAGTCAGAACCGGCCGTGGGAATTAGTTCCACACGCCTGTGGCACGGGCCAGTTTTACGTGTGGCCTGGAGGAAATCCGTAAACGACTCCAGCTGCTTTCCAACCTTCCTTTCCCTCTGTCCTTTCCTGTACCCTGTGCTCAAGCCCCGCATTCCCAGGTGGCAGCCCACTGCCAAGCTGCCGACGCCACGAAGGACAGAGCTGGTTCTTTGTCACTGTCTACTCCGACGCGTGGCACCTGGGAGGTGCCTGGTGGTTTTTGTTGTTGTTTTGCTTTCATATTTTGAAAGAGCGAACGCATTTCATTTGTTTTCTAGACGTTGTGTTTTTGTTTAAGGATTGGCCTCTGCCATGGAGTGCCTCTAGCCTCATCTCTGCATTTTTAAGTTTTCTCCAGCCGTTAAAAACCACGGAATCCTCCGTAGCTGCCCCCTCCCCTGCTCCCCGTCCCTAAACTGGGAGCGATCTCTTGTGTGGCGTCTGCACTTTGTATCTTGTGCCATAGGTGTTCCTGTGCATATCTTATTACCCTTACTACATTGCGGGCAGGATCCATTTTTGTCCTTTATGTTCTTAATCTTCACCTTTTGTGTGTGTGTGGAATATAGAGGACGGCAATAGTTGTTACATTCGCTGAGAAAAACAACGAGAGAAAGAATTGATCCCATTGCAAATATAGAACTAAGGCCCCTCCACCCCCACTCCACCCAGTTCTATAGAAAAGGGTTTCTGCAGTTGGACACTGTGTTTGGGGCAGAATGATCCCAAAGTAGCCATGTTGTTTTCCACTCCTGCTTTAAGTGTATCTCTCTACTTCTGCCTAAAAAAACAGTCTCACTGGCCAATGCAGTTTCAGTATCTTGAGACCGGCTTCGAACTGTCCTCGGGCTTGTTCCTCTAACCATAATTGCCGTGGAACCTGGGCATCAGTGCGGTCTTCCGGCTCGATGCTGTGCAAAACCACTGGCCGTGGAGGGTGGGCCTTTGACCTAGCTCTGGGAACTAGCCAAGAGAGCTTGGATGCAGAACTTGGCTCCTCTCTCTTTCCTCCCTAAAATGAGGGGCTGAGACAAGAATCTCTGAGATTCCTTCTGTCTCCTGAGTGTTGTAATGTGATACTTTTGGAGACTCAAATCGCCTTTTAGATCCGCCAGCCTCCCTGAGCGTCAAGTTTACTTATCCAGGTGTGGGGCTAATTCCAGATTGGTCTGTTGCAAGTATGAGAAGGATAACATCCTTAAGAGATGTCTTTTCTGTGTCATTCATGCCTCCTGCTTCGGTGTTTGAAGTCTTTATCCGAGGTAATGGTGAAGCAAGCCTCTGAGAACATAAATGTTAGAGATTTGGTAATTAGACTGAATTACTGAATGATTCCCCAAATATATTTCTAACCTTTGTTATTATTTGTAGTGCTTGTTGAAAGCGTGGCTAACTGAAAAAGAAGAGGCATTAAAAAAAGTGCAGACGAGCAACTTCAAAGACCAGAAGGAGCTGAGTGTCAGTGTTCGACGACTGGCTGTAAGTAAGCCTGTGATGCTCGTGTTTCCTGTCAGTGGTTAATACAGCCCCGTAAATACAGAGTGAGACACGTCACCCCCCACCGGAATGGTCTAGAACCAGGAGTCTTATGTTTTAGCATTAGAGAATTACAAGGGCATGTTTTACTACAAAATAGACATACTTATATTTTCTGACCAGGGAACGGGAAGATGACGTCCTGTTAGAAAGGAGTCAGGGCCTGGATGTGGAGAAAAGGGGACCCTAGGACACTGCTGGTGGGAATGCAGATGGGTGCAGCCACTATGGAAAACAGTGTGGAGTTTCCTCAAAAAATTAAAAATGGAACTGCCGTTTGCCCCAGTGATCCCACTTCTAGGACATCCCGAAACACCAGTCCGAAGGAGTATATGCACCCCTATGCGTAGCAGCATTGTTTACAATAACTAAGATCTGGAAGCAGCCCAAGTGCCCATCAGCAGATAAGTAGATAAGAAAGCTGTGGTACATTTACACAGTGGAATACTAGGCAGCTGTAAAAAAGAAGGATCTGTTACCCTTTGAGATAGCATGGAGGGACCTGGAGATTATTATTATGCTAAGTGAAATAAGCCAGTCAGAGAAAGACAGATATCACATGATCTCACTTATATGTGGAATCTAGTGAACAAAATAAACTCATGAATAAAGTAGAACCAGAGCCGTGGAAACATGGAACAGACGGAGGAGTCTCAGAGCGGCAGGAAGAGATTCACCAAACAATGCATATGCATATATGCATTGCCCTTGGATGCAGACAGTAGGGTGGAGAAAGGGGAGTAGGTGGGACGGGACCTGGGTGGAGGGGGGCAATGGGGAGAACAAATTACATCTGTAATACTCTCAACAATAAGGATAATAGCAATAAAAAGGGAGTCATCTAACAAATATCTGAAACACTAGATTTTGAAGGAAGACATGGAGATGAAACGTCAAGCGTTGGACCAGCTGAGTGAGATTGGCCAGGATGTGGGTCAATTACTTGATAACCCTAAGGCATCTAAGAAGATCAACAGTGATTCTGAAGAACTGACTCAGAGATGGGATTCTTTGGTTCAGAGACTAGAAGATTGCTCCAATCAGGTACCGTTTGCTCTGCATAGTGTATTGTGCCATTAAGTAGAAATTAAATATTCAGGTTAGTTTTAGTTTTTATGACATAAAAGAGTGGTAGCTAAATTAAAAAATTTGTTCTTTACACTCGGTTTACTACAAAGTGGAAAAATTGACATGAAAATCTTAATTTTTCTAAAATAAATTCTAATAGCTCTTCAAAATAAAAACACCACATGGATTAATATTCAGTAATTTAACGCTTGCTAACTGATAACAGACATGAATCCATTAAATGATCTTTAAGTCTTATTCATTTGAAAATATTTTAGCAAATTGATTAAAAATAAAACCTTGGTTTGTACATGAAAGGTCATAGCAGCATTATTCACAATAGACAAAAAGTGAAGTAACTCAAATGTCCAATAGATAAATGGATAAACAAAATGTGGTATATCCATACAATGACATATTTTGGGGCAATAAAAACAATGAAGTACTGGTACATGCTATGACATGGATGGACCTTGGAAACATTATGTAAGTAAAGGGAGCCAGTAACAAGATTCTAGGCACTATGGTTCTATCTGCAGGAATATCCAGGCAAATTCATCGAGACAGAAGTAGATTCGTGTTGCCAGGAGCCGGGGGGAGAGGAGGAAGGGAAGTGACTGTGAAGGGGTTCAGGGTTTCTTTCTGAAGTGATAAGATTATTCTGGAATTAGAAAGTGGACATGGTTGCATAACTGCGAGTACACCGATAACCACTGAATTGTACATTGTCAAAGAAATGATTTTTCTGGTATGTGTAATGTATGTCCATGAAACTGTACTAAAACATTAAAACTCGGGCTGATTTTATTTCAGGTGACGCAAGCTGTAGGAAAGCTGGGGATGTCCCAGATTCCTCAGAAGGACCTTTTGGAGACTGTTCACATTAGGGAACAAGTAACCACAAAAAGGTCTAAGCAAGAAATGCCTCCTCCACCTCCTCCAAAGAAGAGACAGGTCCCTGTGGATGTGGAAGCTAAGAAAAGGTGAGAACAGACCTGAAATGTTCCCAACCCAATACTGCACACCATGGATTTTGTACCCGGTACTTTGTTCCTACTAATCACCAGTCATATGCAAATTTAGACATAATTATTGGTATGAGCCATTCACTACCCCTGAGTCTTCTGAAAATTCTAATTCCCACCGGCTAAGCATCTACGTTGTCTCGGATGGTTTTATTTATCCTGTGTTCAACCTGAACTGTGTGCCCAAACCCTTTTTTCTCCCTTTCCTATCATTTTCCTTGGGAGGCTATGATTGCTTATGAGTCTTCATTTATTCTTTCTCTCACTATTATGATTCTGACAGTTTTGCTTTAGATAGATCTCCTTATTGTTGATGAATGTCCTTTCTGTTCTCACAAGTCAAAAAAATACTTAATTCAGGGAAGTCATTAGTCTCCTTTATTCTTCATTTTTTCACCCCTCATTCTTTCTTCCTGTTTTCTTTCTCCCTTTGTTCATTCCTTCTTCTAGATTTATTAGCAGATCCTTTGTTTTTGGCTTGAAGACTCATCTTTGGCACTCAGTATCTTTTCATCTTATTGATTCAAAATAAATAAGGGTCTTCATAGGAGGAATGATCACACCTGGCGCAGACCGAGCTTTTACCAATGCCAGCTGCTCTGTAAGCCAAGCTGTGTCCCAGGTGCGGAGTCCCAGGTGCTGTACCTCCTGCGCACTGGCAGCCGGTCCTGAAGACAGCCCTGGAGCAGCTGCAGTATTCTCTCCGTTCACAGTCGAGTCCCGGGGCTCGAGTAAATGGGCAATTAGTTTTGCCTGAATAAAAAGGATATGATTTCCCCAGTTTAGCTTTTGTCAGACAAAGCAGGATTCCAATTTCACCAGATGATTTTCCTTTTGATGACAGGGCTGTGAGTTCTCCCAATAGCCTCTCCGTGCAGGGGACTTTTGACACCCAGGCAGCAGATGAGGAAGATGCTTTTGCTGTTACTATTGTCATAGGCCTTCCATTCCTGAGGGTTTGCATTCTGCCAGGATACCTGCCAGGCATCTCTCCAGTGCTGACATTTGGAAGCAGAGAAGGTTGTAGAAAAACTAGGGTGCATCTATGGATTCTGATACCAAGTCCAGTGTTGGTGGGGGCTGGGGGTTCTCCCAACAAGCAATTCATGGGACAGCAGCCGGGTGCCCTGTAGTCAACTCAGTTCTGACACTGGCTACTGGGAGACAGCATCAGATCCCACAGGTTTCAGGTTCAGTCCTACAGGTTGTTACCTGTGCTCCTAACCGCCCACCTATGAATCAGAGGTTCCCAAGACCTCCTCTTTGGGTTTGATCAATTTGAGTGGCTCACCGAACTCAGAAACGTTTTATTTGCTACATCGCTGGTTGATTAGGAAAGGATTTAACCCAGGAACCGCTAGGGGGAAGGCCAGCATAGAATGGGAAAGAGCACACCTCTATCATTATTAACTTTGTGGCCTGGGTCACTTATTTAAAACCTCTGGGAGCTCCTTAATCATTCAAAGGGATAATAATAGCGTATACTTCACAGGGTTGTAGTGAGGGCGCCTGGAGTTAATACACATAAAACACTTGGAAAAGGGCCTGGTGTGCTGTGTGGTTGCAACCTGGGAAGGTTCCCTTCCTTCCTCCTCACTGTGGGTGTCACTCCCAAGTCTGTGTACACTTTTCCTTCTTTCCTGCTATCATGATCTTTGTCCTGGCTCCTGTGACCACCACGGCCTTTTCTCAGGGTTTGCCTCTTTATTCTGTCCTCTCCGTGAACACTAACAGGTAAACAGAATATGTCAGTCGTAGGCTTTAAACCTGGCTCTGGCTCTCAGTTGCTCTTTGTGTCAGCTCAGACTCTTGACCCTCTCGGGCCTCCCAGTAACTGGTCAGTGTCCCGTCCCACCTGGTACTCGCTGTTCTAGCCACACGTGACCACCTGCGGTTTGCAAAGTGCGTCCTCAATTTCTTTGCTGTCGCTTTGCAAGGACAACTCCTGGCTTACTGCTGTTCTGCTGGAAGCCAGCCCCCCACTGGAATGGGAGCCGTCCTGTGATTTCCTGGAATTAGCACCTAGCAAATTCTTTTTGTTCTTGCCCTTTACTTTCCACTGCCCTTGCTAGACGGAAGCTCCCTGAGGGCTGGATGGTCTCATTTGCCTCCATATCAGGAGCCCAGTCCAGTGCCTGGCATAGAGTAGGCTCAACTCAGACACGTGCTGAACTGCAGGAGGCGTTAACTTCAGGGCTGTCCCTACGTGTTCTTTTCTGTCATTATCTGACCAGATCTGTTTTCCGTGATCTGCAAGCGTTGATAAAAATACAGGCGATTTCTTTAAAAGTTTCAACATTTAAAAATGTCTTTTCTTTAATCATTTATTAATGTGACAATGTTACTCCTCTTTTCATACTTGGAATTGTGAACATACGATCTTGTTCTGTGTGGTTTCTGTATTTCTGGGTTGCCTTTTTTTGTTTTGTTTGTGTTTTGGGTGGGTGTTTGCTCTTTCTTGAGCCAAGGGAAACAGGAGAAGGAGATGAGTGACAAGGTAACATCTGAATCTTGAATCAGGTTTGATGCCCTGAGTGCTGAGCTGTTGGACTGGATTTTGAAATCAAAGACTTCCATTCAGGCCACAGAGATAAAAGAATACAAGAAGATGCAAGAGACTTCAGAAATGAAAAAGAAGCTGAAGGTAAAATATAAAATAAAAGTACACTAGTGAATAAAATATTTCATCGGGATAGATTTACTTTGACATGAAGATGTGATGAGATCCGAAAGCTCCCTGTAAAATAAATGTAGCTGTAATGCGGCTTTTAGAACATTGTAGTAAATTTTGAATTGATTCAAGTTGGCGGGTATCAGATCCCCAAGTGGAAGAGGACTTTTTCCCCTTCTTCTTTAACCACTGAGTTGTGTAGGAAGGAACACTTACTTCCTAAGATGATCTAAATATTATTTCTATTTTTAGCTTGATTAGATCTTAATCTGGCAGCTAATAATTTATGACTTTGTGTATGTGGAAAGTATCTTGCCTCCTGAACACAACAAGCTACAGTAGTACCTCCTTATCCATAGTTACCTGCAATCAACCGCAGTCTAAGAGTATGAGATGGAGAATTCTAGAAATAAATAATCCATAAGTTTTAAATTGTGTGCCGTTTTAAGCAGCTTGATGACATCTCACACTCACCTGGGACATGAATCCCACCTTTGTTCCTCATTGTACCTTCGCTCCCTCCTGTTAGTCACTTCGTAGCTGTCTTGGTTATCAGATCGACTGTTGAGGTATCACAGTGCTTATGTGCAAGTAATACTTACTTTACTTACTAATGGCCAAAGCACGCGTAGTGATGCTGGGAATTCAGCTGTGCCAGAGAAAAGGTGAGTCCAGTATAATGAGATATTGAGAGAGAAAGAGTTCACATTTATGTAACTTTCATTACAATATAGTGTTATAATTGATCTCTTTTATTAATAGTTTCTTGTTCATCTCTTTTTGTACGTTATTTATCATAGGTATGTATAAATGGAAAAACAAAACAAAACATAGCATATTTCGGATTTGGTCCTCTTCATGGTTTCGGGCATCCATTGGGGATCTTGGAACGTACCCCCCGAGGATAAGGGATTACTATATTTCACATTTCCTCAATGTGTTGTCTTCAGAGAAGAGACACCATTTTAAAGCATAAGTACTGCAGTATTCAGATGTAGGGAGCTTAGCTCTGCTACTTTGTACCATGTGTTACTGAAGTTGTGGCAAGAAGTTGTAGTGATTTGTGTGGCTGGTGTTCACGAAGTCTCTGTATACCCTTTCATGAACCACTTGGGCGTCTGGAGCAAGGTCTGTGTGGCCGTCTCCATCGGCAGTGGAGTTCGTCAGGAAGGAGTTTGGGGGATGTTTAAGCAATAAGGTGTGTGTAGGGATCGCAGGTGTAAGTTAGGAAGCGGCAGGTGACGGGCATTGAGGGGAGGCCTGAGCGCAGACGCCCACACACTGGAGGAGTCCCGGGCCAGTGGCCCGGCGCTGGAGCCGGTGGAGGGGCCCGCAGGCAGGGGCCCTGAGCAGGGGTGGAGGTGGGTGAGTGCCTCTTGAACTTTGGAGCAAAGGCTTCATTTTGTTTCCTGCTACGTGTGTGTGTAAAAGTCATAGAGAGTTAAGGGTGGAGAGGTGGTTTGTGGTCGAACCCTGGTGGACTTCGAATGTTTGGATGAGAAGCTGACACTGATTTCTGCCTTATCACTCCATTGTATCAGCTCTTATTTAGCGGTCGCCGTGGACCTTTGGTTTCTAAATCTAAAGGATGGATTTCTGTTCTCCTTGGCCCTGCTCTCTCTGCAGGATTTGCCACTGTTTACCCTTCCTTCCTTAAATTCCCACACCCTTGGCTTCTGTGACCTGCGCTTATTCTAAAGTATAAGGGCTCTCAGTTAATTTACGCGGTGGCTTCCCAGTGCCTTGGGGACAAGAGGTGAAGGTCGCAGCGGCCCAGCCTCGGAGGCCCTCTCAGGAGGCTGTCCTCCCTGCTGCTCAGTGCGGTCTCATCACCTCTTTCAGCCATCTGAGCTCCAGCCCCACCCCTGGTCCCTCTCACTCTCCTGCGTGCGCGCGGTCTTTCAGACAGGCCTTTACTCAGCCTTTGTGCTGTGTGGCTGAAGTGCCCTCCATTCCCGTGAGCCTCCCTGAGCCTCCCTGGGAAGAGGTCAGTGACGCATCTTGACTTCCATGTTGCCTTGACCACACCTCAGTGAAAGCTCTGACTGCACTGACGTCATTGTTTGTAGGCTGCTGCCGGTGCTTAGAGGTGAGGATCCTTTTCCATTGAACAGCGTTTTCAGCAGCCAGTAAAGTCCTTGGATTATGGAAGGAGGGAATGATGACCGTGGGCGAGGGGATATAGAAGGTTGTTAACCTAGGAGCACAGGGAGTCGGGAGAGCAGGAAATGAGGGCTGTGTTCTATCATTTCATACACTTCTTACAGTTCTGAAAGATCCATAGATGATATCAGTGATCATGTAACAATGCAAGTCTCAAAGGCATTAGGGAGGCAGAGAATTTGGAAGTTACAGTGCTCTTTATGGAACAAGTCCTACAAAATATTAAGTTAAATTCCACCCTATGATCTAGCAACAATTTACTTTCAGAAATGGTTACTGTATTTGAGGGGATAAAGATAACAATTTGTGTATGTTTATGTAAGGCACGGTTGGCAGTTCCTATATTTTTCCTTTAATATTTATATGTTTATTTTATTGTTTTAGATAATCAGTAATAGATGTTAAAGGGTTGGAAAAAATGTAAGATAGAGAAAATTTAATCATTGCTTTAATCTCTAATTTTTCTTGCAAATTGAGGAAGATGGGCTTAATTTTGTTTTAGTAAAAGAATGCCTTGATCGAACTGATATAATACCTGCATGGAAAATCCCTAGTCTAATCCACCTCCACCATAAAAAGATATCGAAAATCATTTTGTATGAAGCATGCCTGGCCAGTGTGGCTCAGTGATTCAGCTTCGACCCATGCACCAAGAGGTCACCAGTTCGATTCCCAGTCAGGACACACGCCCAGGTTGTGGGCCCAATCACCAGTGGGGGCATGCAAGAGACGGCCAATCAATGTTCTCTCATCAATGTTTCTCTCTCTCTCCCTATTCCTTCCTCTCTCTCTAAAATCAATAAAGATAACAACAACAACAAAAAAACCCAACATATATTTTTTAAAATAAAGCAGGTAATAATTTTTTTCCAGCGATGGAGACTTTTTGCATTGGTACTTAGCTTAACAAAAAGAAAGGGTATTTCTTAGACTGTCTTGTTATTTCTCGACCTTTGACTATAAAAATGGCTGTGTCACTTAGTCACATTCAAGTTTGTGTGGATCACAATAGGATAGCTCTATTTATCTGACAGTGCTTGCATGTAGTAAGTTTAGAAGTGGCATTCTTCTCCAGATTGTCCAGTTGAAGTAATATGGATTTCCTACAGGTTTTGATTGTGCTATTATAGACACAATTTGAGCAGTTAATTAATAGAAAAACATCAACTGGGAATTAAGGAGTGGGAGAAATTTCAAATACTGACTGTGTCCTCATGTGTGGTATATGTGTGTGTGTCCCTATGATTTTGTTTAACCCTTTTTTAGAGGTTGTGGAGTTTGTCTTTTCCAGTCCCTGAGATGTAGGAACATTGAGAATATCAAACCATAGAGACATAAATATTAAAATTAAACCATTTTTAAAACACAAAGAACAGAACACATTAGTTTGGATCCTAAAGTATATTGTAATTATTTATAAATTCTGTATGATTTAGGCTTGTGATTGCAGTTTACAAAACACTCTAGACTTAATATGACACCAACAAAAAGTACTGCGACTCAGATTGTTTTTGTCTCTTTTTCTCGTTAATTAATTTTGTTCCGTGATCTCTGTCATAGCCATGCTCAGCTCTCCAGACACAAGCCCTTATTTCTCTGGTGCCAATTATGTGGAGGCTACATATGGAAATAGACAGAGGTCCTGGACCTAAAACGTGACTTTTACTTATTTCCTCTTGATAGAAACTCATAATTATAGTGTAAATTTTTTTTTTTTTAAAGAAACCAAAGTTTTGTGTTGTTTGTTTGAATGTACCTTTTAAAATTGTATCATCGCTGGTGTTCTGGAGGATAGCCTGGAATTGTCTACTTTTGTGTTGTAGTATCCTCTTAGGTACACTTTGTAACACCTGAAGAGAGTGTGGGAGGGACATTAAACATTAAAACTTAAAATGGCATCAGCATTACATTGAGAAGAAAGTTTGCAGTATTCTTATATTGAGACTTTATTTCCAGGGATTAGAAAAGGAACAGAGGGAAAGAAGACCTAGACTGGACGAATTAAACCAAACTGGACAAATCCTTTTGGAGCAAATGGGAAAAGGTGAGACCCTTGATTGTGTGTGTGGTGTGTGTGTGTGTTTTAATGTGTTTTTAGATGGCGGGATTGAATGATATTTATAGTTTGACAAATCAAATATATATGTTTTGATGCTCTAACCCTTCTTGCTAGAAAAGTGGTTTTCAGAAACCTTGGTGTCAGCAGAAAGTTTTTTCAAATGAAATCTTATGCTGAGGCTGATTATATCAAACTGATAAAAGCAAAGTTCTGCTTTTAGACAGGCTCAGGGAACCTAAAACTCTGATACCTCAGCAAAACAGTTAAATACCACTGGCGTAGATTTTTAAATCTCCTCCTTTGGGGTTGTATATTGGGACTTTTTGGGGGAGGGTGGAATTGTAAAAAAAAAATATTACTTTGGCAACATTGGAGAGATAAAGTTACATTAAGGTATGAATTTTGTGACCTAATGTATACTTATTTAATTTCGTAAGAAACTTTTTTTTTTTTTAGCTTTGGTAGGGCTGGAAATGCATTCATTACAGAACCCTAATTCTGTTTATTTAGAAAAATCTGTTATTAATATTTTTTTAGGATGAGGTGTGAAGCTGAGAAATGGGGGCATGGATCTGAATAGGGTGTATATGTTCTGGGTTTAATTTTCTCGTTTTTTGAAGGGTGTTTGTGTTTTGTTAGTGAGAGAATAAAAATGATTTTTAAAAAGCTCCCCTCTGTCATCTCCTGTTACCCATTATTCTGATTTAACAGTATTGCATATTACTTCTCTCCATGTGGCTGTGCTCATAATTCTGCTGCTGCTATAAAACCAGAATGTTGCCCAGAAATGAAAGCACAAGTGGGTGATTCTCTCTGTTACCCTTTCTCCTCCCCTAGAAATTTGAAATGAGTCCTAAAACACCGATAATTAATAAGAGGATGCTTTTTATAGGATGTAATCGGGCCACAGTCTGTTCAGTAAGGAGGCAGGTAAATGATTCAATTAGAAAAGCATATTCAAATACTGATGTTACTGGTTTCCTCAGACTAGTCTGTCAGAAATCCCACCATGAAGTCTGATAGGACCTCGCTGGCTAATGCATTTGAATGAAGTTTTGTGATATCTCCTATACCATGACGATGTTTTAAAACTGAAATACTGTTTCATTTGACTGCTGCCATGCCTGATTGTATTGGTTTTACTTATCATGTTCCTAGAGACTGTCAAAACGTCACAGAGTAGTTGGGTATTTGGCTTTACGAATGGATTCTCACTGTGACTTGCAAAGTGTGTAAGCCTTATGGACCCATGCTTTGTAAACATTTCCCTTGATTGCAACAATGCAATCACTGAAAAGTATAAAGTCAAATGAGAGTAACTGGCAAGAATATGTTACATTTTATCCCTTTCAGCCAGTTAGTAAATGATGAGCTATTGATTTGGCTTTGATTAATCATCTCAGAGTTGGGTGTTCTATAGAGATAGAAAAATTGTAACTCTGTGTCTCTGGAAACAAATCAATTATTTTTAAAAACAATGAACAGCCCTGGCCAGTTTGGCTCAGCGGTTAGAGCATCGGCCTGAGGTCCAGAGAGACCCGGGTTCAGTTCCCGCTAAGGGCACGTACCTCAGTTGCGGTTTGTCCCCGGCCCTGGATGGGTCGTGTGGGTGGCGACCACTCGATGTGTCCCTTTCGCATTGATGTCTCTCTCTCTCTCTCTCTCTCTCTCTCCCCCCCTCCCTCCCTCCTACTCTATCTGAACAAAATATGGAAAAGTGTTCTCGGGTGAGGATAAAAAAACAACAGCAACAAAAAGTACAATTTTCCTTTTACATGATGCAAATGGTGCTTTCATTATTACTTGTATTGGTTCTACCTGTATTATCTCAGGCTTGGAGGAGGGAGATTTAAATTTTGAGAATTAGTTTGAAGGGGCAAAATAAATAGATCATGAGATACTGGCAGTGAATTAAAAAAAGGAATTGCAGCCCTGGCCGGTTTGGCTCAGCGGTTAGAGCGTCCGCCTGCGGTCCGGAGAGACCCGGGTTCGGTTCCTGCTAAGGGCGCGTACCTCGGTTGCAGTTTGTCCCCGGCCCTGGTTGGTCGTGTGGGTGGCAGCCACTCGATGTGTCCCTTTCACATCGATGTTTCCCTCTCTCTCTCTTCCTCTCTCTCCCTCCCACTCTGTCTGTAAAAAAAATGGAAAAATGTCCTCGGATGAGGATTAAAAAAAAAAAAAGAAGGAATTGCAGAAGTTGCTTCAGCTTCCCTAGTACCTAATGTGAGTACCTCTTGCCTGTTTTCTAGATGAGCAGAGATACTTTTTCATCTAAAAACTTTGTATTTACCAGCTTGATCTTCTTTCTTGTTGAGCATAAATTGCTGAAATGAAAATGAAATGGTCGACGTTACTCTTTTGCCCAATTAGACTAGAAATGACCTGGCAGAAGCACAGCCTGGGTTCCTCTCTCTCAGTTAGTTCGTCAGGAAAATGTTTATTTGTTTTGTTTATGACGTCCATTAACAGGGATAATTGAACCTGGACTGTGTTGTGAATGCTTTGCCTAGATCTAACTAATACTCCGTTACCTGCATGACGGACAGTGAACCTCAGCAACTGCCATGGGTGATATATTCAAATTATCCTGTTTGCATCATTTGTGGATCAAAAGTGAACTTTTGTTGTACTTATTTTCTTTTTCTTAGTGCTCTCATTACCCTGGATTTTGATGGTACATACTTATAAATATAATTATTTTTATTTTCCTCCTACTCAATAAAGATGTTAAACACATCTTCTCAACATGCATGCTGTCCTGAAGACACACAGACACCTTGGCAGATTAGTCATACTTTTTCATAGGACTTTTATGTGATTGGGTAGTGTTTATGTAAAGGGACAGACTATGGCAAAACTTATTACTGTATAAAACTTGATTATTTTTATGAACATTTTATAACTCTCAAAAATGTGAGACAAACAAAATTACACATGAGATAAATAAGTCCTAGGGATATAATGTACCTAAATAAATAAAACTGTTGGGATATTCCCACTTAAAAAATAACTATAAGATGTCAGTAATGAACATGATGGCATTTTTTCCCCCCTGATGTGTTTCTAAAGTAGATAATCTCACTGCTGCATTGATATTTTGATATTTGCTGGTTTGTGTGCAGGGTGCCCAGCAGGCTGGCTGGGGTTCGTGGGTCTGGCTGCTGGCTGACTGTTCCTCTACACTCAGGTTGCCCCAGCACTGGGAATTTTTGTCATTCATTATGCAATTCATATGACACTGTGGCTTGGCCGCCAAAGACTTGAGCTGCCTCCTGGTTTTTTTAGCCAGCTGTTGTTTTTTTTGATAACAGAGAATCTACCTTGTGATGTCAGCACCCCAGACAAGTCCAGACAGCTCATTTTATTTCCCTGGCTTAGACTAGAAGTGAGCAGAATGCTAGGATTCCAGGGAGGCGAACACATCTTCTATGGAAAGGCAGTGGCTGAAGTTCCAAGCGCTGCTGCTGTTCGTCTGCGATGGTCACCCTCCTTCAGCACTGTGTCAGGCTCCTCCTCTCCCTGAGGTCCAGGCACTGAACAGCTACTTTAGGCATCATCATCATCATCATTATATCATTATAACTCATGTTTTATATTATTTATTTTATGTTATTATTCACCACCATAATTTTTCTGTTATGTTCAAAGGGACTTACAAAATGATCATTCTCGTGGCCCCACTTCATTTACAGGTGATGAATATGTTAGAATACGTTCCAGACAAGTTTCCTGGTAATATGTCTGCTTCCGTTTCATGTCTGTGTAGAAGGTCTCCCGACCGAAGACGTGAAACACGCCCTGGAGAAGGCATCGTCCGAGTGGAAGAACGTGTCTCAGCACTTGGCAGATCTGGCCAGGAAGATTCAGCTCCAGGAAGATATAAGCACTTACTCTAGGCAACTGGACGAGCTCGAGCGGACCGTCAGGACCAAGGAGGAGTGGTTGGAGCGCGCGCCCGCGTCCGAACCGCCCGCGCAGGCCTTGCGGAGTGTGGAGGTAAAGGGTCCGCGGCGCACGTGGAAGAACTCTGTGCCCAGCCCTGTATTTAGGAGATGCTGCTTGTCGCGTGAACGTCAGGTTGATGCCGTGAGGACTTGTCTTTGGAGTCATGTGACCGTATTTTCCCTTCCGCAGCGGGAGCTGGCGGATCTCCGGGGCCTCCACCCCGCGATCGAGGCGGCGCGGGCCGGCTGCGCGGCCCTGACGTCCAGGCCTTCGGCTCCAGGCTTTGTCCAGCAGGGATTCGATCGCTTTCTGGGCCGCTTCCAAGCTGTGCAACAGGACTTCGAGGACTGTCGGCAACAGCTAGAGAATGGTAAATGGACCGTGTCCTCTGTCGCCTGTTTGCCTTTCTGTGAAATCACCCCCAATAGCGAGGCTTTAGCACAGTGGCTTGCTCTGCGGCACACGCCCTGTTTCCCTCTGTTCCTGCTGCTGTTCCAGGTCTGGAAGCGTGTGCAGACTGCCTCCTACGTTCACACTTGTTTGTGAAAACGCAGACAGCCTTCACGTGCACTCGAATGGTGTTAACAGGACATAATGATTTTAGGACTTTTTTTAAAGGGAGCTGTTCCTCCCTTTCCTTGACGGAGGCCAGTCAGTGTCATCACTAAGGGCCGAAAAGAAGGATGAGCTACTTCAGTTTGCTCAAGATGGCTCAAGGTTTTACAAGACCATCTCCTCTTTCAAAAGAAATCATGTTCCTGTTTGGAAGTCTGAAACACTTTAAAGAATGTTTACGTTTGTAGTAAAGCTGGTTTTGGAAAGCGAACTGTTGAAAGTGTGGAGAGCTCATCCCTCCTATGTTAGATGTTTCCTCCTTCGCTGTTGTTTAAGTCAGGAATTGTGTTATATTAGGTAATGGTGTAGGTAACGCATGTTAAAAAGCTGCACATTTAACCCCACCCTTACCTGCAGTGGTTGTAAACTGTGTATTGGGGAACAAATGTGTCCCGTGTCTGTCTCCTGGACACCACACCTCGTTCACTGAGTTCAGTTAACCCAGGATGTGGCGAGTGTGAAAGTATCTGCTTTTAAATTTACTGTTGCAGAATATGCTTTCGTTTTGGAAAAGGATCAATAGGCAATTGAAATGTTTACTTTCTCAACATAAAAAGATTCAATTTATTTATTTATTTTTAAAATTGTGGTAAATACATGTAACATCATTGTTACCACTTGAACCATTTTCAAGTGTAGAGTTCAGTAGTGTTACATAGATTCACACTGTTGGTTGGTTAACCTCCGGAGCTCTTTCATCTTGTGAAAATAAAACTATACCCATCAATCAAAAGTTCTCCATCCCCCTCCCTCTAGTCCCTGGCAGCCACCATTCGACTTCCTGTTTCAGTGAATCTGACTGTGTAATGGGATTGTGTAGTGTTTGTTTTCTTGTGACTGGCTTATTTCACTTAGTGTAGATGCTCTAAGTTCATCTATGCTGTAGCAGGTACCAGAATTCCCTTCCTTTTTAGGGCCGAGTAATATTCCATGGTGTGTAGACACTACCTTTTGTTTACCCAGTCACTCGTCCGTGGGCATTTGGGTTGTTGCCAGCATTAGCCTATTGTGAATAATGCTGCTAGTTGGCTTCATCACTTTGTGCTTCAAATAAGCTTACATCCTTTCCACACATGTGTTGTTTGTCTGTGGTTTTTTTCATTGGTGGGTGAAGTGGACTCATTCCAGGTGGCTTTTGCAGTCATTTTTCTCAGAGTCCCGTGGCAGCCTGCGGTGGCATCCCTGTGTCCACCACCCTGTGCACGGCAGTTCGTCTGCACGCTCAGCCGAGAGGAAGACTGGCTGAAGGGGTCTTTGTTTTCTTTTGTTCTTTGTGTAGCTGGTGGGGAGAAAGGGATCGTATGAGACAATGGGAACATTGTAGCACCATCTTCAGAGAGACGTGTCATCATGACAAAATGAAGACAAGGGATAGTGGGTTAGTTAATATTTCAGACATCAGCATCCATGGGAATGATGTCGCTGTCTGACTCTCAGAGATGCCAATGGAGTGATCTCAGTACCAAACAGAGACCCTTTTTAATTTTAATGACAGAGTTTAACTTCTTATTTGTTAGAATTCACTTATTATACCCCAAAGATTGATCATATATATAATAATATTAGGTTTCTAACATTGTTTTCTCAAACTAAATATTTGTAAATATACAGCAATGACGAGCCAACCTGGACATACATATTTGGAAATGTTGAAAACGCTGAGAGATGTGCTAAGTGATTCAGAAAATAAGGCCCAGATGTCTTGGGATGTCTTAAATGATCTCGCAAAAGTGGAGAAAGCCCTGCAAGAAAAAAAGGTAATATAGCTTTTAGGTCTTAGAAATCTAGAGTCATTTCTACTATATCACATATTTTGAAATATTTTTTCAACTAATTAAAAAAAATATTTGTCACTTTTGTCATAATTGGTCAAAAACTTCTTACAACTTGAGGATTAGTTACTATAGTGTAGCATTTTAGCTAAAAGATAGTTATATTAAATATTTTAATAGAATGAAACCCTATTTTTCTCCTATTGTAATTAACTTCAAATTTTCAACCTGTTTATAATCTACCAGAAAATCCTTTTAATAAAATAAACAATATCGATTGAATTGATGTTGTTCTTTTTTTTTTTTCAAAAAAATTCTTTTTGCCTGTATTGATTTTTAGAGAGAGAGAGAGAGAGAGAGAGAGAAAGAGAGAGAGAGAAACATCAGTGGGAGAGAACATCGGTTGGCCGCCTCCAGCATGCCCCCCACTGGGGATCAGGCCCACAACCTGAGCATGTGCACTGACTGAGAATTGAACTGGCGACCTCTTGGTGCATGGGTTAACGCTCAACCACTGAGCCACACTGGCCAGGCGTGTTGTTCTTTTTCTGTGTTGAATAAAAATGTGTCCCTGGTCATTCAGGATATATGGCTCTGAACCATTTCATCAGATAAGACAGATCACCCAGTGAGCCCTGCACCCTGGGCCCTCACTGGTGTGTTGTTTCAATGGTTTTTAGTGTACAGAACGTATGACGTCTGGCTCACATATAATTGTTTTGATTGTGGTTATTTTTTTTAAATGAGTTTTTTTTTTTTTTTTTAATCAAATGCTTTCTAAAAGGTGACTTTTAACTGTTTATAGTTTATATTACTACATCTATACAGGCAAATCATTGTATATATTGCTAATCTTTAAAAAAACATTTTTTTCCAGGCCCTTGATGAAATCCTTGAGGATCAAAAACCTACATTATTTAAACTTGCAGAAGAAACAAAGGCTTTGGAGAAAAACGTTTCTCCAGATGTTGAAAAACTATATAGTCAAGAATTCAAAGATGTCCAAGGAAAGTGGAACAAAGTAAAGGTCAAGGTTTCCAAAGACCTGCATTTGCTCGAAGAAATTATCCCCAAACTGAGGACTTTTGAGGTAAATCCAGAGCCTGTAGGAGTTTAAGTTTATTACAGGGTAAAATAGTAGTTACCATGTATGATTCAAATATCTGTTATTTGAGTATTTTGCATTCTTTCTAATGCCACATTTATTATGTACTTAAGTAAGGATTTATAACTTGCTTACCAAAGCCATACTTTTAATGTACTGGAGACCACAAAGATAAGAGAAAATTTGCTTAAAAATGGTCAAAATAATGTTTCCAGGATGAGGAGCCCTCATGACGTAACAGACTGGAGACCAGATGGCAGTGGTAGCTCAGAGTGGCCGAAGTCACCCGGCAGTAGGTTTTAGACATTGAGAATTGAAAAATCTAACTAGGCCCTCAACAGAGAGCGTGAGATTGGAAAAGCAGGTGATTTGAGGTGCATGAAAATTCACCGCCTTTGCTACATTCTGAAAGTGTCTACAGTTGAAGAGGGGATGATCAAGTCCCAGAGCAAAGGATAAATGTGAGGTCCTAAGGAGAACGTTCATGTCAGGTAAAACAGTCAGAATTTCAACACTTTTCCCGTGAGGAAGGTGGAGAAGTGGAGTTTCGAACCACCTGGTTTTACAATAGGGATGATCTGGATGAAGATTGGACCCATCATACTTTCTCCCCTCAGGCCCCTCGTCCTCCCAAGGCCTCCTTACCTTGGTCTTTTGTGTATGTTTTGTGTTTTTTTTCACTTAAGTATCCCAAGATGTGCCTCTAGAACAGAGCCTGGCACCGAGAAGGCACTCCATAAATATTTTTTAATGACAGAAATGAGACCAATACTAGATTTAGCTGTGGAAATATATATATTTTGATCCCAAGAGAAGATACATAAGAGGTTATATATATTTATGTATTTGGATTGAGATCCCAAGAGAATTTGTGTTAAAGATGTTGCTAAAAAGTGAGAAGATTGAAAATGATGTTTTAAAAATCACAGTCAGAGGACATGTGGTGGAAGAAGGTGGGTAGCTGTACAGATGTGTGGAAGGATCCAGAATGATGAGAGGACAGTGCTGACCACTGGACATGGAGCCACGTTGTTTGGCCCAAGAACCAACGGACAGGTCCAGTGAATGACCAGGAGGAGAGTAAAGATGGCAAGGGGTGTGTGTGTGTGTGTGTGTGGGTGTCTGTGTGTGTATGTGTGTGTGGTGGTGGTGGTGATAGTGGAAGGAAGTGGTTTTCTCTAAGTATAATTTGCAGTTCTATACGGAGATCTCATTAGAATAAACCAGTGACTTTCAACCAATGTGGTACAAGAATTCTTAAAACGTGATACCTGACTATTCAGTCAGGGGCACTGACTTCTTTTTCTTTAGAATGTCAAATTAAGCAAAAAAAACAAAAGACAATAGCCAATGCAATAATAGCTGTCCATTGTGAATGAATCAAAATTATACCTTTTTCTTTCATCAGATCGGCAAAAAATATATTTGTGGTGTGCCACAGAATTTTAGTAATTGATTAGTGTGCCATGAGATGAAAAAGGTTGAAAATCGCTGGAAAAAAAAAACATTCCTTTTGGAGAGGAGTGTGTTATGTGTAGCTTAGAACTTGGACTCACTTAACATTGTGAATGGATCCACTTCCCCGTGTCTGTCTCCACTTGTAATTCTTTCCAACTTTAAAAAACAGAATTACCCCTATTCCTGGATTCTAAAATTTTGGGGTAGTGTCCAAGTATGGCATTATCAGTGGTTCTCAGCCGGGGGTGATTTTGCCTCCTAGAGGACATTTGTTCTGTTTAAAGACATTTTTGTTTGTTGCAACTGTGGGGGATGGGAGGGCGCCATTGGTGTCTAGGGGCAGGGACCTGGGTTGCAGGTAAATATCCTACAGTGAACAGCACAGCCCCACGATAAAAGAATTTTTTTGGCCCCAGCTGTCAGTAGTGCCAAGGTTGAGCGATGTTGGATTAAATCATTTCCATCATTGCTCTTTCTTTCTTTTCTTCCTTCCTTGCATCCATCTTCAGATAGAGCAGGACGGAGAGGGGGGGAAGAGAGAGAGAAACATCAATGTGAGAGAGACACACCGACTGGTTGCCACCCGCAGGACCTCACCTGGGGCCAGGGACACACTGCAACCCAGGTACGTGCCCTTCGCGGGAACTGACCTGGGACTCTCTGGTCTGTGGGCCGACGCTCTAACCGCTGAGCCAAACTGGCCAGGGCAATTGTTCCCATCTTTTCAAAAGATCATTTGTTTTCAAATCATATCTGAGATGTAGTTAGGGAAATTTACAGGTGAAGATGAACCCAGACTTAATCTCCTTTTGACTCTTACAAGTGTATGATAGGGTTAGTTAAATGTGTTACAATATTTTAATGTGGAATTTAAAGATAATAAATGTTCTGCAAAATACAAAGGAGAGTCTGGTGGCTATAGTGATCCAGCTTATTTAGGCTTTAGTGTGTTGTTACTAATGTGAAAATGTAGGCACTTAACGTGGCCATTGGAGTGCATGCCAGTCTATTTCCATTGAAAATATTTAACTTCAAACACATGCATCTTGATAATTAGATTTTTAAAATAATTTTACAGTAGCAAATTTGTAATGTCCAGTTACTTTTAGTTCACTTTTTGCATCCTGACTACAGGATTGTTGATGTCTCTGTATTCCCTAATTGTACAATTTTAAAAATTGAAATACACATACATATACATTATTTAATGTATATTTAATAAAATATAAATGTTCATGAAATATACATTAAATTCTAAAGAACACTTTTATTCCTTTATTTGCTTTGAATGAATTGGTTGTTACTTAGCTACTTTCAATTCACTTAGGGAAACTTTTAATTCCCTCCCCAAAAATAATTGCAGTAAATATTCATTTTGCAGTTAGCCTTCTTTCCTCCCCCTTTTAATGACCTGATTTATACTTTTTTAGGCATTTTAGTTCTATTTGTCTTTAAAGAATGAGGCATGGTAGGTTTTTCATTCAATTCCAATTTATGATAAGGTTTCTAAGGAACACAGTGGATCTCTTGTTTCTTTTTAAAATGCATTTTAAATTATATAAGTAATACATGAATGATGCTCATTGAATAACAGAGAAGTGTTTAGAGCCCTTAGTGTTCCCTTTCTTCCCCCAAACCATTTCCTTTCCTGGAGGCAGTTAATTTTAACCACTGTTCTTGCTGGAGGTTAACATATTCAAAATAAAAAAGGAAAGTTCATGAATATTGCTAGTTTCTTCCTCACTAATAGAAACAAATGATATTGGAACTTCAAGAGGGGCATTGAAATAGATAGTACTCAAATGCCTGAGCTTGGATATGAATTTTCATTACTCAAAATAATAGTGCCTTTCATTGACAAGGCACATTTAGATGTTGAAAGTATTCTCATAGCTATCGCTTACTTTTTCCCTCCCATCCTACAAGGCACCTAAGGAGATTGTATCCTTTGTCTGGGTGCAGATTTTAGTTTTCTGTTATTTGTTGGCAAATAGTGTTTTTCTTATGTGCCTACATTTCCTGTGTCTACACAGCTGGTTCTTTCTGCACAGAGAGGGACCAGGTCTGCACACTCCAAGTCATCGATTTTCAACGTGTGTCATCGCATGGCACACGTAAACTAATCACTGAAACGCTATGCACACAAAAATATATGATCTTTTTGGTCTATCTGACAAAATAATAGGTATAATTTCCGTTCATTCATACCAGACGGCTGTTGTGTTGGCTGTTGACATTTTTTAGTAGGACAGTGTAAAGGAAGAGAGGTCAGTGGCCCTGACTCAGTAATCAGGTCGTGCATGTTTTAACTATTCTTGGGGTATACCGGTTGGAAATCGCTGCTGAGTACATGCTCAAATACGTTCTTCAGTCTCTGCTTGTCATCGATTCCATGCCAAGGTAATGACCTCAATTCCTGTAATTAAGAATTAACATGTTAATTGGTGCATTTAAAATTACCTCATGGAAAGTCCTCCCACTCCTTCCAGGCAGCAAAACATTTAAAAATACATGAAAAGGGTCGTTTTTTTTAAAAAAATTATTATTGATGTTTCTGACAAGATTTTCTTATGAGTTATGGGGATTGAATGTTATCAAATCCCGAGGCTGCACTCCCCACAATAATATCTTTGGATTCAGGGGCTGAAAGATGTTTCCTGTTATTTCCTTTCTGCTTTTCAAGATCTCCTGCATTGCGGTGTAACTGCAGGCTCATGAAACTGTCCCCAAGGCCCGCAGGAAACTGTCTTCCATTCACCACCACTCCTGCCTCTTTGGACCCGCCTCCAGCCCCTTCCTGCTGGTGCAGACTCCGTAACCTCTCGTCCTGACAGTCTCATTACTCTTTGACTCTAACTGCTGCTTCCCATCTCTTCCTTCTGAATTCTTCATCCACACTGAGCCATAGTTCTGCTTCTGGGGAGGGTCAGGTTGCCTTAGCCATGGTGATAGCCAAAGGTCTCATAGCTCCTGTCCCCTTCTTGCCCCAAAGCATTCTCCTGAGTTTGGGGAGGGGGGGATGTCACAAAGACTGCACTGGACAATTGCCTTTCTCCAGAAATGTCACTTAACTTGCTAGGGACTGATATCCTCCTTGGCTCATGCTCATCGTTGAAGAGGAAGCTTCTTCTACAAGCATCTTTAGTTTTGCTTACCACCCACAGCTGCCTTCCCTCTGGGATTCTGAGTGTGTTTACACCTTCACAATAACCTGTCTCAAGCCAGTTTTTGTTATGGCTAGTCTTGCTGGCCTCTCCTCCCCCAGGCATGAGTTCTTGAAGGATAGCGACCTGCCTGGTTTCCAGCAAGGAAGCAGATGTGAATGTAACTACTTTGAAGGGACCTTCAGACATCTTACCCAGTGTTCCTCTCTAGTGAGATTGGATCTATCAAACCTAAATGCCTGGTTGTCCGAAACAGCAGGACATCTGTGTTGTCACACACCTTTCCTCAACGGCTGCACAGTCAAAGGTGCACAGTGAACAGACCCAGAGTGTGGAAGGGGACCTGCTGGAACTGACGTATGC